TTCAATGCCGTCGGCCACGACACTGCCAGTTTTCCAAACCGGCGAGGAGACATCTTCTCGGAGCGAGCAGTGTTCTTCGGCTACAGAGCCGCAACAAGTTTTCTCGAATGAACAGCACGGGGGACCTACCCGTGCGATCCTTCAATGTTTTGCTGGGCAGGCCCGTGTGGCTGCGGCTCTGCTCGCGCAGGGTTATTTTGCTTATGGAGTGGATCGTGTTAAACACAAGTCCGCTATGGCACCTGTTTTGCAAATGGACCTGTCCTCTAGGACAGCTTGTGATTCTGTTCTTACTTGGTTGGACAAACGAAAGATTGCGGGGGTGCTGATTTGCATACCAAAGCTCACCTTGGACCCTATCTCTGCGGCATTTGTTTTCGCGGTTATCAATGGATGCCTCGACAGAGACTTGCCGTTAGTGGTCGAAGGCTCTTGCAAGTCCCCATTTTGGGATAATTTGAACCAACTTCCAGACGCTCAGCAAGCACCCCATTGGGTCGAAGTAAAGTGGGGATGCTGGGACCCTGCGAATCAGCAGCGGAGTTTTGTGATGTCGAACCTTCCTGAAATCACCACGGTTAGGCGCGAAGGGCGAGAACCGGCAGGGAAGTCGACAACACTGGAGACCTCCTCAGGGGCCTACCCCCGTGGTTTCGCGACTGCTTTGGCTGAGGTCTTCGCGGCTGGCGTCACAGCGAGAAAACTTCTGTGCCAAAACCCTTCTTTGGCCAATAAGGCCATTCGAGTGTCGGCCATGCACCAACCTCGGGGGCACTTGAATGAGGTCATGCCGGAATGGAAGGTGGTCGTCTATGTGCTGCTGCCTAGATCAGTGACTGAGGACCCTTTCTCAGGATGCAAGCGTCTCAAGCAGGAATGGCGGATTCCGGATGGCATCCGAGTGTTGCCGGGGATGGCCGCCCTGCCGGTGGATTCCCAGCTTCTGTCGCGGACTCAGACAGGGGGGAACTTGAGCCCGCAGCTTCAGCAGGAAATGCAGCAACTGGATGGTGCCTCAGTGCTGAGAGTGGGGATTCCTTGGGATCCGATTGAATTTATTGGAAAGGCAGCAAAGCTAGGACACCCTTATCATCAGCTGTCTAAATGCAACAAACCATTAGAGAAGTTGATCGAGCAACTTGTACATCGTCCAGGTTCGGTGAGATCCCAGAGAAAGTTTTACCTTGAGAAATGGGCTAGAAGAGCCAAAGAACTGGAGCCAGAGGAGGCACAGCTGAAGGCTGGTATGTCCACCCATCGAGAAGCGATCCTCGGACCGAAACGTATCCTCCTCTTCCAAGAAATGCTTCAAGACATTCAATATGATGATATGGGCGTGGTGCAGGAGCTCATTCAGGGAGCCACGCTCACAGGACCTATCCCAGTGACAGGAGTTTTGGATGCGAAACTGAAGCCAGCCAGGATGGACATTGAACAGCTTGTGGACATGTCTGACCAGGTGTGTGAACAGATTTTCGCCAGGACAATATCCAGTGGTGATAGAAACATGGACACGCTGTTGTGGGAGAAAACGTTAGAGGAGGTTGAGAAGGGTCACCTCGCAGGACCTTTCGACGTTCGCCATCTCCCCAAAGGCTGTTTGGTGAGTTCCCGTTTCCCTCTGATGCAGGGAGGCAAACTCCGACCTATCGACAACTACTCTTCCAGTCTCATTAACGACACGGTTACCGTCTCCGAGAAACCTGTTACACATTCAATTGACGAGATCGCACTCCTAATTACCAAGCTATCGAAGGCCGCTAGGAAAAAAGGACTGTTGGAACTCTTCGGGAAGACGGCTGACCTGAAAAGCGCCTATCGACAGTTGGCCATTTCAGATGAGAGTTTAAGATTTTCATACTTGGCAGTATACGACCCGTTTGAGGGGAAGCCCAAATTATTCCAGCAACTGGCGGTACCTTTTGGTTCCACGAAAGCAGTATACTTCTTCTTGAGGGTTGCGAGGGCTCTTTGGACGATCCTGGTGAAAGGAGCCAGAATCCCTACGACGAATTACTTTGACGACTTTGTTCTCCTCGCATTGAGCGGTGACAGGAGTTCGTGTGGGTATACCTTTGATGAGGTCATGAAACTGTTGGGTTGGAAGCTGTCATCAGACAAGACTACGGAGTGGAGCACAAGTTTCGAGGCTTTGGGCGTTTTGTTTGAGATGGACCAAACAGGGACAGGGGTCCTGAAAGTTAAGAACACTGAACGAAGGCGTCGAGAGTTGGTCACAGCCATCAGAGGTCACCTGGAGAATGGTTTGATGAGTCAGAAGGAGGCCCTGCAACTGAGGGGCCGATTACAGTTCGCACAAGCTCAGTTCTTCGGAAGGTTAGGCAGGAGGTGTCTGGTTGAGATCACGAGACATGCCTATGGTGGGAGGCGGAAAATTCCGGGATACACTAAAGACCTTTTGGAAGAGTTCTGCAAGTTCTTAGACGCTGCTCAGCCCAGGCTAGTGGGACAGGTGTCGTGCAGATCGTTTATGATACTCACCGATGCAGCCTTCGAAACCGAGACAAGGTCTGGTGGATTAGGTGGTGTGCTCCTTACGGGGAGTGGGACAGCGCTGTCATTCTTCAGTGTTCCGATCTCGGAAATCCAGACTCAAGTGCTATCTATGGAGGATGAGCAAACCATTATCTATGAGCTGGAAATGCTTGGGGTTTTGGTTGGTTTGAAGTTGCTAACAGGCCAGACTGCAGCCTTTGCTGAATCGTATTCCCAGCATGGAGCGACTGCTGGAACTGGGGTAATCGTCTACCTCGACAATGATGCTGCCCGACACGCCTACATCTCGGGATCTGCTAAGAAAGGAGTTGCTGGAATGTTGGTGGATGAAGCAAACTTCCTGGAATATGTTCACGGATTTCTACCGTGGTATGCAAGAGTTGCCTCCCCAGCGAATCTTGCAGATCAACCTTCAAGGTTCCAACTTGATTTGGTTAGGAAGTTAGGATTCAAGGACGAATCGCATGAAGCGAGGAGGATCGTTTCGGCAATTGTGAAGAGGGCCTCGAAACTGAAGGTTTGACACATGGCTCAGGTGAATGGGGAAAGGAGCCCTGTGTCTCACAGGACATTTCGAGACTCAACAACAGTCTTGGGTCTTACAGGAGGGATCGAGATCCAACCAGCCGTGCTCGGTACTGTTTCCCCACAACGTGAAAAGATTCGAACGAGAGCGAGTGATGTGAGCAGAATGCATGTTGCTTGATGAAGATTGTGTCATGCTTGAAGTGTTCAAACACGACATGACATTTCATAACAAGCACGGTTTTGAACAATAAGTATCGTTCTTCGAATGCCTGGAGAAGATAGAGCTTTATTGTTCAAAGGAAACAACATCAAAATGTTGTGGTGAACAAAACATTTGCTTGTTGTTTCAGTGCTTGCCTTTTTGCACAACTTATTTCCAACGCTTGATCAGTTTTATGCTTGTTCATGCAGGATTTGTATTTACTTATACACCCGTCGCAGCGGGACCTCTCAGAGGGCAGGATGCCCGGAAAGTGCTCTTAGAAGCTGATAGATTGTTTTCGAAAAACCCACCCTCGCCACCCTTTTAATCTAATGTAAACGTTTTCGCAACCACGTCAGGAGAGGACTCGTGTGCATACGAAGTCTCCGGTAAGGGACCAGGCAGCTCAATGAGCGTGTGCAATAAGGAACCTTTGTTAGTGCGGGCCTTACTTCATGTGGTGACAGTTCCGCTTATTTGCTTGACGCATAAAGGCTCGAGTCTTGCTCTTTTCATCGCTGTACTTTTCTCAGCACTCTTCATGGCGCGGTCGTTGACGCGCGATCAGCTAAACGATTTTCGGGTGTGGCTCCACTCTTTGAATATGGATTCCCTCATGAAGGTGGCTGAGGCATTGGACGACCTCATGGCAGACCGCGAGATGCGGCAACAGGAGGCTGTTGCAGCTCGTCAGTCTCAGTGGCAGTTTGTGAACCCTGCACCTGACTTGGAGCAACCAAGTGAAGCTGCCTCGTCAAGCTCTCAGAGACAGCCAGAAACTTCTTGAACTGTCGTTCTGAACCACATGGATATCCTGTTCAGGCCGTCACACTTAGGCCGAACCTGTGAGAGGCCGTGAGTTAGCTGTATTTTCCTCTCGAAGGGAAAAGGAGCCCTGTGTCTCACAGGACATTTCGAGACTCAACAACAGTCTTGGGTCTTACAGGAGGGATCGAGATCCAACCAGCCGTGCTCGGTACTGTTTCCCCACAACGTGAAAAGATTCGAACGAGAGCGAGTGATGTGAGCAGAATGCATGTTGCTTGATGAAGATTGTGTCATGCTTGAAGTGTTCAAACACGACATGACATTTCATAACAAGCACGGTTTTGAACAATAAACATTTGCACTGCGAATGGACCGAGTTACGCAGGCACGCAATGTGATGTAGGGATACCATCCCTCAACAGCATAGCCAAGCCTTATGTTCTCCCCGACACTCCCAATGTTCTTTCAGTAGGACAGAGATGCATGGATCTGGGTTACGACTTCATTTGGAAAGGATTTCAGAGACCCTATTTCAGGAGTCCGGGAGGTGACAAGGTTTTCCTTGATGTGAAGGATAACGTTCCGTACTTGAAGTCTTGGAAGGAGGGTATCGCTTGTCCTGCCCATTCAAGACGAGTCTACTCGGATCGATACGGATGATGCTGTTGAGACCATCACCAACCCAGAACAGATTGCCGCGCAACTTATCCAGGAGCAGGATTTCTCCCATCAGGCATGCTTGCGATTGCTGAAGGACTCAAACTTTAAGCAATCTAGGTTCAACAGGAAAGCCATCAAACCGAAGGACAGTAAGGACTCGAAGTACATGATTTTCGGGGCTTTTTCACATGGGGGGATGCAAGGGATAACCAATCGCACTCATTCCTACCCCAAGGTGATTAAGTACCTTCTGTCCTATCTTAAACATCATGGAGCGGATGGCCCAATAACATCGATTGCTGTCAATCAGAACTCAGGCGTTAAAATGCACAAGGATGTCAACAATCACCGTGAACACCTCAACTACACCATTGCAATCGGCGATTTCACCGGAGGCGAATTGTGGATTCACGATGACACCGTCCGGAAGGATGAACCAGGTTGCATCAACAAGATCGCCCCCACTGGTGCCAAACTGGGAGGTCGTTTGCACAGGTCGAAGTCGAAGATCATTTCCTTCGATCCAAAGACTTTCCATTGCGTCACTCCCTGGAAGGGCGAGCGTTGGAGCATCACGGGATACGTCAATCGCGCTGTGCACAGGCTGGATTCGCATCAGCTAGAGAAGCTTAAGTCACTGGGGTTCTTGCTGCCGAAACAGAAGAACTTCCCTCCAGCAGTGCCTGCGGAAATCGATGAGGAGATGACTCTTTACGAGTTAGCTACTATGGATCCTCCAGCTCCGGCCCCAGAACCGAAAAGCAAGCCTAAAGTGAAGTTGAAAAAGAAGCCTGAGGAACCCTCAGACAAGAAGAAGATTGCCAAAGAAGCCTCCAAAGCCGAACCACCTTCGGATGAACCAGATTGGTCAAAAGTCGAGGGGTTATTGAAAGAAGCTGTTGCCCCCATCCCTTCATCTCCGGATGAAGAGTTCCTTGATGAAACGGAACTGATCAGGTCGCCGAAACCCGATTCAGGTGAGCCGAGCGTCCTCCCTCCTCCTCCGGAAGGAGAGAGGCATGCTCCAGATGGGGATCCTGGTGAGGGTAGTGGTGGGGAAGGCAAGAGGTCGAGGCGCATTGAGAATTTGAAGAAAGAAGCCAAGTCAGCGGCGCATCTCATGACGCACCTTCCCAAAAATCCATTCTGTGATGTTTGCCAAAGAGCTAAGATGTACAAGCCGCCTTCGTACCAAACGGATGGCTGGCACAGCGTCGAAGCTAAGGCGTTTGGAGACCATATCACTGCGGATCACATCATTGTGTACCGTGATAGGGATACGGTTATAGAAGAATCCAGATTGGCCCTCGTACTGAAGGATGTTGCGACTTCTTTTACGTATGCCTACCCTTCAGCACTGAGGTCAGAGGATGAGTGCATTGCAGCATTGCAACATTTCGTTTCCTCCTCTGACGAGGTAGGGGTATTCTACAGCGATCAAGCTAAAGAACTCATCTCTGCCGCCAAGTTCTTAGGTTGGAGACATGAACAATCCAAAGCGTATATTCATCAATCCAACGCGATCGCAGAACGCGCAGTGCGCGCCACCACCGAGGGTACTAGGAGCAATTTGCTTCAGGCCGGGCTCTCGCATGTGTACTGGCCACAGGCTCTCGAGCATGCGTGTACCGCTGTGAATATAAGTAACCCCCATGGGGCGAAGTTTACACCGTGGTTCAAGCGTTTCGGGAGCCAGTTCCCGGGAAAGGTCATTCCCTTTGGTTGCAGAATCGACTATTGGGTTGGACCCAAGAAAAAGCGCAAGAATCGTGAAAGGTTCGAGCCAACTGCTGAACCAGGTGTTTTCGTGGGATATCATTTTCAGCCGGGCATGAAATGGAAGCACGAGGTATTGGTTCTTTCGCTGAAAGAGTTAAATCGACAGGACTTCCATGAATGCATCAAGCCCATAAGAGCATACCAGTTCAAGGTGCCTGAAGGTGATTTCACTTTTCCCATGAAACAGAGGTACGAACGTGTGCAACAAGGTCTCGCTGCCGATGCCCTCGAGCGACCAGCGACGGAGTCACTCCACAATCAGGACGCTGAGCCCTCAGCTGAACAGGCCGCTGAAGCTTCTGACGCCGACCGGAAGGTTGAGCCCCCTAAAGTTCTCCACCCCAAAACCGGCAAGGAGATTCCTCTGCCGGAAGGTGGGAAGTACTATGATTCGGGGGGTACACTAGGTCGTCGTTACGGGGGGACTAGAGGTTCTAGAAAGCCGGACAGCATTCCGAGCGATCTATGGGTCCGTCTCTCTAAAGCACAAAAGGAGAAGGCCATTGATGATGAGGCTCGAGAGCAAGCTTTGAAAGATCTCGAGGCCCGAGAAACTCCCTCGTCAAGTAGCAGCGCCAGGCCCTCTGCAGTAGCTAATCCGGTTAAAGATGAATGGACAATTCGGGGGGATAAGCTCATCCGCTTTCACTACTCTCCGAGACGTGAACTGTTCTCCCCTGATCTCACTGATTGTCCTGTTCCTATCTCCGCTCTTGGTAAAGAGAGATTGACCAAAATCATGCCAATTGGAGGTACGGACATCATAGCCGATTGTGATGAATGGCGTCATGTACGCAAGCGCAACAAGAAGCTCAGCTTCAAATGGGTTGGTCGTACTGAGTTCGACATCCTTACCAAACCCCACACTTCGGAAGAAGCTGTCAAAGATTTCCCATGTATGCCTACAGTTCCCATGTCTAGTCATCAACATAGGGACAAGATCCCTGCTTCCCACGCTCTTACTGCCGAGCAAGTTCAGGAAGCTATGGCTATGGTTGCCAGGCCAGTAGGAAGAAAAGAGCTGTTAGCTGATCCTCAGGCCCAAGCTTCTCTTGACGTTGAATGGGAAAAGTTGATGAAGAAGAAAGCCTGGGACATGTCATCTGTTCGTGAATGGGAAGAAGTCTCTAAAGAGGCAGCCAAAAGAGGAAAGAAGGCCCACGTTGGCAAAATCTTTGAAATCTGCGTGGAAAAGGGCAGTGAGCTTCCTAAAGGGAATCCCTTACGGAAGTTCAAGGGTAGGACCGTCTTTCAGGGCAACAATGTGAAGGACGAGAACAATGACACCGCTCTCTTTAGTGAGCTGGGCTCTAGTCCCGCCACCATGGAAGCGGGTAAGGTTCTCGACGCCTATGGCCATGCCCCCGGCCACGATGTGGAACAGGGGGATGGTAAACAGGCGTACACGCAAACGACTCTGAAAGGCGCTGACACTTGGGTCAGGCTCCCACGTGAGCGTTGGCCTAAGGAGTGGGTCGGCAAGTTTAGGGACCCCGTCGTCCGCCTCAGATTGGCTCTTTACGGGCACCCAGACAGCGGGGGCTTCTGGGAGCAACATTGCGAAAAGCGCTTACGGGAGGTTGGTTTTGAGCTCGTGTTTCCCGCTGCATGGCCATCTGTCTTTTATCATCCCACATTGAAGCTTTTATTAGCCGTGTATGTAGATGATTTCAAGATGGCCGGGCCAAAAGAGAACCTAGCCAAGGGTTGGGAACTCATCGGTTCTCGCATCGATATGGATACACCTACTCCCATCGGAAGATATCTGGGATGTGAACACTTATCTCAGTCTTCATCGCTTGGAAAAGCCGATCATCCTTTTGCGCATGTCTTCGACAAATCCCTTCCTGACCCCGCTGCCAAACCTGCCACTGCCGCAGCCAAAGAAGATTTCACCGAATACTACCCTGAAGAAGGGATGGTTGTCCGACATCACGTTCAGCCCCGCAAGGCGTTGTTCAAGCCTCGCGCGGCGGAAGCCGTCGCACTTGACCTTAGTCCGCACAGACTCACATTGATGCGCCCTCTAGGTTCTGAGGCCGCGCCAGACGAGCTCTGGGACACGAGGGGTGCTAAGCACAAACGTGATCACTTATGGACAGGTGCTACTTATCTTGCCGCCAACGGTCACACCGAGCGTTCCGCAATGGCAGCCGTGAAAAAGATTAGAGACAAACTTAATGCCAAGAAAGCAGCCCGCAAACACGCTTTCTATGATGTCAATCAGTTGAGTGATCATCAGGGTTGTATGTATGCTAAGACCAGACAAGTCGTCTATGACATGAGTTCCTTCTTGCAGCAGGCCATCGACCGCTACAAAGAACTCACTGGTCCCGAGTGGCATAACCTTAAAAAGGTATCAACGCCCTTCTATGATGACAAAATCGCTCGCCCCACTGACGCGGAGGCTGAACCCAAAGGCAAGCTTGCTCCTATTGCGAGTCGTGTGCTCATGAAGTTGCTGCTTGCAGCAAGGATGGCTCGTTATGACTTGTTACGTGCTGTCCAGGGTTTAGCTAGCCGGGTCACTAAGTGGTCTGCCGACTGCGACAAGGCACTGCACAGACTCATGTGTTATGTTGCGTCCACTCTTGGCCATCGAATGACCTGCTTAAAAGGAGACTCCCTTGATAAGTGTAAGCTCTGGCTGTTCGCTGATTCTGATCACGCAGGCGAACATGACAACACAAGCACTTCAGGAGGTTTCCTCGCGTTGGTAGGACCCAACACCTACTTTCCCTTGTCCGCTTTTAGCAAAAAGCAAACGAGCACCGCGCTTAGTTCCACTGAAGCTGAAGTCGTATGTGCGAACGTTACTCTGCGAGCCTTGGGTCTTCCTTCATCTGCACTATGGAGCGTGCTCCTGAACGCGGGGGGGGATACAGCTCCCAAGCCTCTTCGTAGTGACATTGCTAAGCGCGATTTCAAACCCAAATCTTATCCTTTCCAGGGAATCTCGACCATCAACAAGACAGGACGTCATCTCCTTGCAGACGGAAGGATTGTGGAGGTTTTTAGCAAAAGTAGCTCTTTACCCTTTCCCGTTGAGCTGACTAGTCACCCTATCAGGGATCTTTGGTTGCTCCAAAAAGGGAAGTGGACTTTGCATCAAAGGGCGGTTGCTTGGGAAGAATTGGATGAAGACGAACGCACTCTGCCTCCGGATGATTTCGAGTATGGCATCCTCGTGTATAGAAGGTCCACCGCGCCACGCGGAAGCGGAGGCCATCCTCCAGAGGGAAGCCGAGGGCATAAGGGGTTCGGGGGGTGGTGTCGATACTGAGGTTGGAGTCACTAGGAAACCTTGCGACTTCGGACTAATAATGTCTGTGCCTCATTCGATTCAGCCAGTTGTCTTAGAGGATAATCAGGCCACCATCCGCATCCTAGAGTCTGGAAAATCCCCAGCCTTCTGTCATTCTGACAAGACTCAAAGAATCAATTTAGGATGGATCGCAGAGCAGTTTCGTAGGAAGCACTATGACCTTGCTTACATCAACACCAATCTTCAAGCTGCTGACATCCTTACAAAACCCTTTACCTCGAGAGCCGTAAGGCTACACCGGCCAGCGTTCCGCCGCCCGCCGTTGCGAGCGACTCGAGGCCCGACAGCAAAACGAAGCGGGTCATTATAGAGGTTTGCTGTAGTGATGACTCCATCATTGGGGAAATAGCTCATCATGAGTTTCCCGAGTGTAAGGTAGTTAGAGTCACCGAAAGCATGGACCTTAACTCACCAGATACCCGTAGAGCCATCATCGACATTGCCAAAGAACACCACCGAGCTGGCGCTCGTGTACTAACATGGGTTAGCTTGCCTTGCACTGGTGGCAGTCAATGGACTAGAATCAACCTTAAGGTTCCCAAAAATAGAGATGCTGTGCTTGATGCCAGAAGAAAGTTCAAGAAGTTGTGGGCATCATTCGTTGATCTTTCTCAGGGCCTAGATAAGGCGTCCGTTGACTACTGTGTTGAATGGCCAAGGGACTGTGAGTATTGGGGATGGGACAAAGTGAGGAAGTGGCTTGATAGGCATCCGTTTGTTTATGCCAAATTTGATGGTTGCAGGTTCGGATTGCATAACAAGAAGGGTGTTCCCGTGAAAAAGCCGTGGTGTGTTGCCACTACCCTTCAAACAGTGTACAATCGTCTCAATGACAAGAAGTGCACTCGTAGCCACGAGCATGCTAAATGCCTGAAGGAATCAGAAAATTACAGTAAACCTCTTGCACGGGCTATTCACAAAGCCTTTAAGGAAGTGAACTCCTCTGCAGCGGCTAGATCAAGCTCCCCTGTAGTCCCAGCGTGCCCAGCCATCATCACCTCGCCGACCATGACCGAGTTTCTGACTGACGAGGAACGCCAGCAGCGTGTCGCGGAGTTCAAGCAAGCGCTAGTGGACCCCGACCGCCTGGCTGACGCCATGGCTGGCATCCTTCTTCCACCGAGTTTCAGTGACCTGGCGGAAGCTGTGGTTGAGCCACAGGATGATGATGCCGACGACGACTTATTTCTCGGCACAATTCCCATCTACCGCTGGCGGGAGCTGCGTGAAGAGGACCCTTCGTCCCATTGGACGGTGCTTTACGAGCGATTCTATCGCAAGCACGGAGTCCGTGTGTTTTCGGAGACCGAGATTGATGCCTCCGTGCTTCGTGACTCCACCCTGGGGGGTTGGATACAGATCCTTTACCGACATGCTCAGGATCTGGCCACCCTGGCGTTTGGACCGAAGGCGGGCGGTGCAATCGATTCCACTAAGCACTATGACATTTGCCGCAGAATTGCCAATCTTAGCGTAGGCGCTTCCGACTTCCAGTATTTTGCGAAGACTTCGAGTCTTGTCGAGAAGCTCTTTACTCCTGCCCTTCAGCGCATTTCACTCCCTCCGGAAGAGAGGCGACGGTTCTTGATCGTCGGAGACTCTTCCCTTGCGTTGTGCCATTACACGGGGCGGAAGCCTACGCACCGCATGACCATTGAGCCGCTCATGCAAGACGTTTTCAGGAACAGTCCAGATGTGGAGAGCCTAATCTACTCAATGAAGTGGGGGTATCACCTCGACCAGCTCATCGATGAGGCGCTCAAGCACCTTAACGAGGCGAGGGATCACCACCCGGAAGGGGCGGCTACCCACATCATTTTTGGATGGTCAGGAAACGATGTATGGGGCCAACACGGCTATCATGGCTACACTTGGCATCTTCAGAGCAAGTTCACAAAGCGAACAGCCGAGGAGCTCGAGCAGATTGACACTTGGCCTGCAAAGCAGAAGCTTCGTGTTGATCGGGCGTGTGAGAGAGCGTGCAAGCTCCTCCACCGGACTGACGTCTCGGGTGTGTCTTTCTTGATGGGCAGCCATCACTCCTGCTCTATGACAGGTGCATGAAGAATCACGCCCGAGATCTGATGAGCGGAGGATGCACCATCATTGACCCTGTGGAGCTCTATGAGCAGACCAGCAGGCCTGATGGCTTCCACGCTGACGCGTCGGATCAAAATCTGCAGAGCACCCTTAGGTGGCACGCGGCGATGCTCCGCGGCATTCTCACAGATTACCGCCTTCTCGCTGTTGAACAGCAACTCATCGCAAACCAAAGAGAGGCCGTTTTTCATGCACACTTTGTGTTGAACAAGCCCGAACCGTTCCTCACCGTGCCCCCCGCGTCCGGGAGAATCCTTTCCAAGATTGTTGATTCCCCGGACCCACCTCTGGCGAGGGAGGCAGAAGAGGAGATTGTGTTGGCCGGCCCACTCCTGGCGGAGGCGGAGTACGAAGTCGTCAACGATGACTCGGCTCAGAGCTGCAATCCGCAGCCCATCACTGAGTTCGACTTTGCCAGGAATGACACCAGGCCCGGCGCAGGCTGTGTCCTCGCGATTGAAGACGGCGACCCGATCAATGTTGTCGCTGAGGAACACCTTGTCATGGCCAACCAAGCGGCAGAGGGTATCACGCAGGAAGAACTCACCGCGGTCGCGGCTGAAGAGGAAATTACCCTCCTTAGCCAATTCGTGGAGCAGGATGATGATCCCTATGAGAATGCCGACACCTACTCCTTGAAGAAAGCTGAGGTGGTCGCGCCCCCTTCTCCCGTGGTCGTCATCGATGACCCCGACGCCCCTCAGCCGAGCGAGGCCGTTGCACAGGCACCCCTTGTCCCAAAGGCAAAGCCGAGGCCTCCCACGCTGCCGCGTTGGGTTACCGCTGATCAGCTCCCTGATTTGCCGGATGATTACCGTTTCCTCACGGAGAACGCCCGGGTCTGCTTGTCAAAGAAGATGTCTTTCCTCGCCCGGGGATTCGCCAATCGGCGAGCGCCAGAAATGGCGGTCCACATCTCAGCTAGGGACAATTCTATTGAATGGTCCGAATTTTTCGAGAAGTTGGGAATGATGTGGAGAGGCCTTCGTGTGGAGCACGTGGTGGACGTCCTCAAATCCACTCACGACAAAGTGCGGTTCGAAGTCAAGGTTGTCATTAAACCCGACAGGGAGGTCCAGCTGCGTGCCTTTAGAGCGATTCAGGGGCACGACGGCATACTCCTCTCGGAAGAGACGGACGTGATGGCACTGAACACCCACTCGTACCATCTATCCTCTCTTTGGCAACCCAATTTGGCAAACAGGCCCAGGGTGGGAACCACTGGTTACACCAGCGAGGCCTTCGAAAGCATGCCAAAGTTGGCTTACCACGGCACGTATCGTTGCTATCTGCACTCCATTGTTCGAGATGGTTTCATCCCGGGAGGGGTTGCTACAGATGGAAGTGCCAGCCGTTACTTTCTCCCGTACCGGCGTGGCAGAGGGAGAGTCATGCAGGCGTTCGTGAAGATGCTGACATTGAATTTGTCATCGACCTGCAACTCGCAGCCCTGGAGGGCGTGCGGATCTTTAGATCCAAGGCAGATGCAATTCAGACACCTGACTGGATTTCCAACAGGTACATTGTTTACTGCTATGATCGCCACTCCCAGGTTCCCATCTGGCACAACCGTGTGTACGAGCTGCTCCGCGTCCGACTGCACAATGCGTGCAAGGATGTTCACGACGGGCGGGAGCCGCGTCCAATCTTCGAGCAGGGCCATTTGGATGATTGGTCGGAGGAGGGTTGCTACCTTGACTACCTCGAAAACCTCCAGACCAGGCTCAACTTCCATGAGTACCGGCACTACATCACTGACATGACAAGGCCGTACCAAATCGCCCACGAAGAGAACCTCACGGTTGAAGATGAGATCATCAGGCTCGAGGACCTCAAGTTCGCCGACAACGCACCGCGGCCCGAGCCACTGGCGGAAGCCAAGTGGGGTTCCACGCTCAAGGTGTGGTTCTCCGCAAAGGGCATCCGAGTGGATCGAAAGTACCGCTCCGAGCTCGACCATTTCATCGTCCAGGAGCTTGTTTCCTTTCCCTGGTTTTACTGCACCAGTTGCCGTAAACATTACATCGATGGAATGATTGAGTGCCAGTTCTGCGGCTCCAGAATCGCAGCTGAGAGTGACATGGCACATGTTGCCGAACCCAGCAAACGACGCCTGGAGTCCTCCCGGAAGGGACGGAACATCGACATCATGTCGATCGCCCCCCGGCCGGGGTTGGCCATGAACCGGCACTGCAGAGCGAGGAACGCGCGAAGCACAAGATCAAAGTCTCCCTGCAGCAGTGCGCAGCAAATGCGTGAGCATGAGAAAATCGGCAATGAAGAGGGGAGGCCAGTCGATCGCTGACGCTCTCACCAACCCCCTCGACGCCTACAATTTTGCGTCCCGTGGTATGGGTATCACTTCATTGGCCCAGCTGGACATGTTCGCCCATTTGCACAATCCAGCACCCGGGGCTGATGCCAACGAGAGGAAAGCATTCGCTGGCACTCACCGGGCTGACGCCAGAGTCTCAATCGCCTACCGTCCGGGAGATGACCAAGTCTCATTGGATGAAGCTTTCTTTGTGGCCTTTCAGTCAAGGCTCTATCTCATTGATGAGATATCCATGATCATTTACGCCACCCAGCAGTCCCCGGAAGGGCGACAGAGACCTTTCACGATTCTCTCTTACGATGGTGACTTGTTCACACCAAGGGTAGGCACCGTCTCAGAAGTGATGGCGGAGATCAGTCGTTTCTTCCAGGATCAACTTCCCCTGAGCGGAAGCCGTCGGGATCCTGCACCACGCCACGTGGACTTGGCTCGATCTCTCCGCATCCCTGACGGGTTTGCTTGCCTCGGTCAGACCCAATTGAATGAGCTGCTCCGCGATACCAGGTTTTACCAGCGGTATCTGCACTCCAACCGTGTCGAGCCGGAGTGGATTCGTCCCACGAGAGCGTCCTCACTCGGAATGATGCGACCTCCTCCTCCTCCCACAGCTGATCGCAGAAGCTCAGCGCCGGCCCGTCGCCCAGCGGAAGCTGAAGGCTACCGCCCACCGACAGCAAAGTATGGGCCTTCTATGGGAGCGAGGGAGCGCACGCCGTCAAGGGCTACATCGAGGGGCAGATCTCCAGGTCTCAGCTCAGCAATGCCTGAGAGGCCACCGCCACAGCGCAGGGCTTCGACCCCGCGTCCTCCGCCAGTGCGACGCCCAGGTTCCCCTGGAGAGGTGCGCACATCCCGCAGACGCGTGGATCCCACTGGACCAAGCATGACGGAAGGAGAATGGTTGGCTGAGAGGCGCAGCCGAGTCGATGTCGAAATTGGGAAAAGGCTCAGCATTCTTCAGGAACTCTTTGCTGACCTTCCAGAGCACTACCCTTTCGACCATGATGGTGATCTCATCGACCCGACGCGGACGCGCTCGAGCACCTGGACCCTTCTTGACGGGTACTACTGGGCCATGCTCAAGGCCCGGGATGCGCACTGGGTGTCGGAAGAAGAGGTGGTGAACGCCCTTCCTGCTTGGGGAAACCCAGGGGGGATCGTCGTCTACGACTACGACCACGTGTTGTGGTATCTCAGAGGATGGAAACACCACGTCACGAATCCACACACTGGTGTGCAAGAGAGGCGGTACTAAGGCCTAAAAGGAGGCATGGTCAGGGTTGCACACTCCACCCTGACGGGTCGGATTCGCCGACCCAGCCCTTTTGAGCAAATTGTTTTCGTTCTTTGCATTTCTGATTCCATCAGCCTACGTGTGTGTGCCCGTGCGCCACGCTGCATCTCCTTCGCCGCTCTGACGAGCTGGCTACACAGTAGCAGTTGTAGCCAGTTTCTATCCTCAGGGTAACAGGTGAAGAGCACCTCCCTGACGGGCTGGATTTATTTTCAGCTGGTTATGTGAGGTGAAATTTCCTCAAGATGCAGTCGTTTTGCGTACTAGGTACGACTGTAGCGAACATCGTTTGTCTTTCCTCAACTTTTGACGCCTCTTACGTTGCACTAAGTTGCGCGGGGGGTGTTGTTACAGAAAGACATTTCGTTACTTACCGTTGTTCGCTCATGGCTCAAGAAAAAGGGCGTGTGCACGTTTCCCTAAATATTGGGGCTGTCTGCTGGTAACAATATAAACCCTAAACCCTGAGTCCCCGACTAGGGACAGCCCTGCAGCCTGCAGCGCCTTCTTCTGATTCACGTCTGCGCCTAAGGTTCTCAACCCGAACCAGCACATGAAGTCGGCAGTCATCGCGTACAAGGAGAAGACGGTTCAGGAGATTTTGTCCGTGGCCTCTCAGTACCCATTGGTGATGCACTGAAGTTGCTTTCGAGAGGTGAGCAGTTTGTGCGCCCGTGTTTGCCGGACGTCTCAGCCAAGAAGAAGCTCTCGTCGTTGCTGCTCCTTCGGGGAAAGCGGATGCAGCCGGGAGAGCGCCGCACGGTGGTTGAAGAGCTCGTTCCGATGCTGATAGAGGTCGCAGACAATTCAAAGCTTGAGGAGTTACTAGTGGACCTGGACGAGCAGGAAGTTCTGTGGTTGCTGTCTCAAGTAGATGAGGACACGATCAAGTCTTTGAAGATACCCGAGCCCCGCAAGATCTTGGTTGGCGGGGAGCTTGCTCGCAGACTGACAAGGTCCACAGCTGCCTATGCGCAGAGGAAGTGCTTGAATTGCCTTTGGGATTTTCTCAATGAAAATGAGGGAGATTCTTGGGCGAAAGCATCAGCTTTGGTGCTGGCAACATTCCATAGCAGGCTGACAGCTCAGCTTGAAGTGCTTGACACAAAGTTGCTGCGCCAGGCTTGCGAGTACCTGAAAAGCCGAGACAGCGCCAGGTCCTTCGCTATGGACTTCTTTGATTCCGATCTTGGCATCTCCACATTGGAACAGTGGCCACCCACGAACTCTTCTTCGATCTTTGCTGAACTTGCCCGACACCTGGATGTGAAACATGACGAGAAGCTGGATTTGTTGGCGACAGCCTATGAGCATGACGGCTCCGATGAAGACGTGCGCTCTGCCCTGAGGCAGCTGCTCAGTCAACGAATCATGCAGCAAGGCTCCAGTGGTGAGGACAAACATTTAGAGGGGCTCCTGCTCAAAGTGTTTTTAGAGGGGAAAGAGGAGATTCCCACGGAAGTGATGCAGGAATTGTCGCTTCGACCAGAGAGTTTCGAGAAGCTGTCTGCGGAGCAGCGTATGCGTCTTGCAGAAATGCTCAAAAAGGCCAACCGAAAAGCCGAGGGAGCTCGGGTGGCTCTTGCTGCTGCGGAGCTCTTTTCTGCGAAATCGATGGAGGACGAGTCGCAGGACGCCATCATGTATGCACTCTCTCTGGACCATACCGACGCAAATACATCGACTGTGTTGTTTCAGCTTGTCCGGAGCATCCGAGGCAAGTGCAAAGAACTCAGCAGCAAGCTTGAGAAGGCTCAAGAGGCGCTCGCCAAACCCCCGGTGTGGCACTTGACATGGGATTTGTCGGGCTACGACTTCGCCCACTTCACCGAAAAGCGGCAGCAGTTCAGCGAGAATTTCCAGCTCGGGGCGTCCGGCGTCGAGGCTAAACTCTGTTTGACGCCCAAGGCTTCACCAGACAAGGCCGGTGTGCTTCTTTTTGTCAGCGAGCCCGTCTGGGTGAAGTGCAGATGCCAATCGGGCAGTTGGGAACGCACTCTAGAGCACGAATTTGCCAAAACGGAAGATGGCAGCTTGCTTGGCTGTGGTTGGCCAAAATCAATTCCCATTTCCTTCCTTACGTCGGGCATCACCTTCCATCTGCTGAGCGTCCGCCGCCCCGGGTCCTCCTTGCGGTTGGTCGCTCCCAGCTCCATGGAGCCGATCTCCAGGCCCCCAAGGCCCCCATTGCCATTGGTTGGACTTACATTCTTGAGACCACAGCAACCACAGCCGCACACCGTTTGGTGCACCTGTGGAGTTCCAGAGCTCGCGCGGAGCTGGGGGAAGTGGTATTACGAAGTTCAAATGGTGAACGGAATCAGCAATCCACAAATTGGATGGCTCACTACCGAGTTCCAGCCAGGAGACCGGAGTATTAGAGGTGTGGGAGATGATCCATATGGCTGGGCATTCGATGGTGTTAGAGGCTGTTGGTGGCACGATGGCAGACACCCATTGAAGCTGGACAGCTGGAGGCTGGGGGATGTGCTAGGATTTGCCATTGACCTGAATGAAGGAACGATGCAGCTCTGTACAGAAGGAGGAACAGTGACGATGCCTGCGAAGGCGCATGGGTCACTGCAACTGGTCTGCGTCCTTCAGAAGACTTCCCCCCAAATAGTTACTTGCTGCTTTCATAGGAAAGCCTCGACCTTGCAGCTTTGCTAACTAATTGACAACCCAAAGAGTCAAAAAAACACAATTTTTGTGGCCAGCCAAGAGTCCCAAGGTACCCAGCTGTATCCACCAGCGGCTTGTTTTGCATGCATCTGTCTAGATCGGCGTGGAGGCTGCAGCCACCCGAGGGCTACCAGGACTGGTGCCGCGGAGACCTTTCATGGGCGGACTGAGACAACTTGGTGTCGACCAAGCCTTCGTCGGCGCATTTGCGGAGGCTCCCCCTCCAAAGGAGGGAGTGGCCACGTTGACCGCGCTGAAAACCAAGAGTCGCAGTGGGCTTCGCACGTAGTCAAAACACCCAAGCAAAAATGGGGGGGGGGGGTTTCCGAAAATCGGGGACCCCTGAGATAGATCCCCAACTAGTAGGATCCCCCTTAGAAAAAGGACCCCCAATTGGTTTTGGGCCACTGCAAGTTGGGCTTGACTTGGTTGCAGGTCGACAGACGTGTGTTCCCACGGATCTGAACGGTTTAGGGTTTAAAGTTTAGGGTTTAGGGTTTAGGGAACATGACCTAAGAAAAAGATGAAAAAGTAATTGTCGGACTTTGTGGATTTGCTAAGGCATCTCTGGTTCAGGTTGCAAAGTGGTGGGGCAGATTTGCTCGTACTTGCTCAGGGTGTTTGCGATCCGCTTCTTCACTGCGCAGTCACAGCCTTTTTGCCCTCCTTGCAGAAAATTGTGGTGCACGCAAATGTAATGCGCAGGGTACCGAGCTTACTTTGCGCCTTTCCAGAAAAGAGTTTCGGATGCCTCCATTTCAGACTCCGGGACAAAGACAGGTTTCTGTTGTTGTGTGCCAAGGTTCAAATCCCCAGAAAAGGCTCCGGTCGAGATCAGACTTGTTCTCCCTTTTTGAGAGGCCTTCGGGCCTTCGGAACTTCCCCTTTTCTCCTCAGCCACTGGTTCTTGACGCGACTTTTCGCGCAGGGGCCGCAAAGCAGTTGATTTGCCGAAATGCTAGTGGACGGCACGGGTCTATGAGGGATCCCTTTCTCTCGGAAATCCCTATATGGGCACCAGCAACAGCTCCCAGTCTGACTGTTTGAGGCTCAGCCTGGCTTCTGGCCCCATCTTGCGCCGTTGAGAACTTCCCGGTAGCCTGCGCGTTCAGCCCTGACTTCGTCGGTTTAGGGTTAGGGTTAGGGTTTAGGGTTTTTGGTGGGTGCCGTGGAGTCAGTTTGTTTTTGGGCTTATCGAGCCAGATTGCGTTTTGAGGCTGCGCTGCTGTGTTGGATCGCCTGGGCTTTTGCCTTGTTGCGGACATGGTCGGTGGGGGACTTTGGGAAGGGGCAGGAGAAGCATGTGCATGGGGGGTAGCTTGAAAAGCCCTGCAACTCTTTTCCCGACTCTTTGCCCTGTGGTGGGCTAATACAAAAAGTACCGAAGCAGGCAGCACTTTCAGTTTTTCAGTGCTTGGGGATGCTGTGGCTGAGAGCATCCGCAAAGAATTGAAGGTTTGAGACATTTTTGACCCTAGTCTTGAGCCAAGAAGCGCTTCTGATAGCTGGGGCTCAAGTCAGAATTCATGTTGTTGCAATTTCGCAGTTGTGTGACTCGCTGCCTCCTTGCCGAGCCTTCCAGGACAGAGTGAGTCGTGCTCGGCTCTTTTTGTACTTAGGGACTTAGGTTCATGGATAGGTTACGGTTTAGGGTTTAGGGTTTAGGGTTTAGGGTTTCGGGGTACTTCTCACCACAATTATACATCTACTTATTATAATCTACTTAGGGGACTTAGGGGGCTTGTAAGTACAGTTTTTATTCGGGTCATACGTACCCTGAACCTCCAAGGAAGCTTGACATTCCTTAATCTTAATAATAATACTAAAAAAATTATCAAAAATAAAAATAAAAATAATAATAATAATAATAATAATAATAATAATAATAATAATAATAATAATAATAATAATAATAATGCACTTTGAGAGCTGCACCTTGCTGAAGTCTTTAAGTGACCGTCCCAGGACTCGCACTGGGGTTTGGCCGGCTTCTTTTTCCCTCTGAGCGCCCCGAAGGCAAGTGCTCGCTTGAAAGGGAGCGCAGGGTTCTTCAACGTGCGAACTTCGCGTACTTGGAGGTTCATGGTACCAGTCTAACCATATTAGGGCACTCAAGGGGCTTATAAGTGGGTTAGAAGTACAGTTATAATTGGTTAATAAGTACAGTGAACCTCCAAGTATGGCCACATCATTGCAAGTTGATTGGCCATCTGACTGCGCAGATGGATGTGGACAAGTTTGCAGCGCTTGCGGTAACAGTGGCCTGGCTTGTGAAGTCAGCGTCGAGTTCAACGCAACATGCTGTACATTGTGAGATATGGGGGTTTACGATAATAGGAGTGCTTTTATAAGGGGGTTCTACTATTTGGCGGTCTATATTAGGGGTCCCTTATTTTCGCCAACTCCCATATGTGTATGACTGCTGCTTCTTGAGGTCGCTATTGCAGCTGCAGCTCCGTACACAGAAGAGAACTCTAGATGGAATGTCAATTTTGAGCGACAGCACGTGCCCCCCTGACGTCTTTGTGCACCTGCGTCGGCACCTTCTTCTCAGCTAGAGGATGCTATTGCACGTCTGTCTTGATGGGTTTAGGGTTTAGGGGTTTAGGGGTTTCGGGGTTTAGGGTTTAGGGTTTAGGGTTTAGAGTTTAGGTTTTAGGGTTTAGGGCTGGAAGCAGCCGCAGGTACCAGAAAGATATCATGGACAATGGGAGGGCGCTGCTCTCAGAGATGATCAGGACTTAGCTGGCTGGCTTGTCAGCCCGTGCCTGGCCCAGAGGCTTCTCCCGCGTCTTCGAGCTGTGGTGAATCACTTGTGGTGCTGCTTCTGAAGCCATATTTCCAAAACTTCCGGAGAAGACAGTGTGTATTGCATGCGGAAGCAGACAAACCCTTTCTGTACGAAGGACAGCACAACACCAGGAAGCAGAAGGGGTCCACAAGCCAAAGCAAAGTTTGGCCTAAACCCGAAACCTTAAACCCACTAAATCTGCAGGGTTGCGAAGCCAAGAGACGCCATGCAATTGCCTCCGCCGGACCTGCGACGTGCCTTCACTGACGCAAAGGCAAAGGCCGCAGCCGTTGTGCTGAACAGGAGCCTGTCCAGACCTCAATTCCTGAGGTAGGGACCACATGGGTATTTCCCAAAATAGGGGTACCCTTGATATACCCCCAAAATAAGATAATCCTTATTCTCGGAACCCCCAAAAAGGGTACCCCCATCTTCGGAAACCCCCACATGATCGGAATGCACCTTCGGCCATTTGCAGTGCCCCAATTATAACTGTACTTGTAAGCCCCCTAAGTCCCCTAAGTAGGTTATAAGTAGAAAATTGTGGTGACAAGTACCCCGAAACCCTAAACCCTAAACCCTAAACCCTAAACCCTAAACCCTAAACCCTAAACCCTAAGCCCAAAACCCATGAACCTCCAAGTGCGATGTGTTCCCCTCTTCATTCTCCGCCGTTGCTGCTCTCAGGTCTGCGCCTCGCGAGAGGCCATGCCGAAGGCGGGTTCATTCAGATTGGTTTAGTATTATTAATACTAATCATATTCTTATAAGGTTATTATTATCATTAGTACGATTTAATATTATTAGTATTATTAATTCTATAATATATTATTGATATTCGAATCTCACTGAGAGAATTGCCTCCACCCCGGGCTAGGGCGCCTGCCCCTCTTCTGGTGGAAGTGCCCTGGCCGGCGGAGCCCAGCACGCTCGCCTGCCCATGGAAGCTGCAAGGCTGTGAGGGTTTAGGGTTTAGGGTTTGGGGTTTAGGGTTTAGGGTTTGGGCTGTGGCATAGAAGTTGATGCCAGACTTCCCCGTTATCTGGAACTCCCTAAACCCTCAAGCCCTCAAACCCTCAACCCTCCCCCAAACCCCTAATCCCTAGACCCCTAAACCCTAGACCCCTAAACGCTAAACACCAAACACTATTCATAAACCCTAAACCCCTGAACCCAAATGTCTAGGCGAAGTGGGCGTTGCCAGCTGGCAGGTGCCCTGCTCCTTGGCGCGATGTTTTCAGGCAGGCTTTTGACTCTCACGCCCAGTTTCGGAAAGCTGGAGTAGATAAAGGGTTTAGGGTTAGGGTTAGGGTTTAGAGTTCAGGGTTTAGGGCTTAGGCTTAGGAACCATGTGTCATGCAGTATTTTGTCATTAATATACTGCTATAAAAGACTTCAATCTACTGTCATATACTTCAGTACACTCTAGGTTACAGTAAGAAACAAAAATGTAGCAGACATGACAATAGACTAAGAACATGCTACTCATATCTTCTCATATGCCATCGTATACTTTCACAAATTATCATATATCATCATATTCTATCGTATGCCAACATATGCTGCAATGCTATATGCGAGTGCCATATACTAAATATATAGCCCAATTAGACCCCTGTATGCACAGACACCATACAATGGCTCATAAACCCTAAGCCCCAATTCCTGAACCCTAGACCCTCAACCCTAAACCCTCAACCTCAAATGCCCCCGGCAAGGCTTGAGCGCAGTTCAGCTGACTCGCCTGCAGTTCCTCTGCCATCGCTGCAAGTTTACGTCGCAGCTCGTTGGGCGTCTCAGACGGCAAGGCGAAGACATGTCGTTTGCCTTTACATCCTCTATCTCCCCGAGGCCCTGGGCCCTGAACCCCGTACGCTTCATAAGCCCTCTCAACATCATAGACCTTATAAACCCTACCAATCCGCCGAACCCCTAGAAACCCCCTAAACCCTTGTAAGCCCCCAACACAACCCCTCTTATCAGAACCCTTACAAGCCCCATAAGCCCTCTGAACACTCAGCCCTTCTGTTCTCGGTTCCTTGCTGCTCAGGTTCTCCACCTTGCAGCCCCCGGCTCCCGAGGTGAGCTAGGGAGAGAGAGACGCGGGGTGTCACCCTTGGGGTTCGGGTTCCACCGAATGCGGTAGAGGGTTTTGGGGTTTAGGGTTTAGGGTACCCCCGGTGCACACCGCAGGTAGTAGAATCCCCCTTCATAAGGACGCCTGAAATAAGGTAGCCTGATGTTGGGAACCTCCCCTACCCCCCAACACAATCTTGCAGGGCAGGGTGCTCCGGCACCGTTCCTAAACCCTAAACCCTAAACCCGAAACCCTAAACCCTAAACCCTGAACCCTAAACCTAAACCCTAAACCCTCAACCCTAAACCCTAAACCCTAGTCACCCTTTTGCAGGTGGGCTTGCCGTCGCAGATGTCGGATCCTGGAGATGCGCCTGCGACGAGGAGCCTCGGCTGCCCAGCTGAGGGCTGTCACATCCTGCGAAGGACCTATTATATATTTATATATAATTATTATGTTTATAAGATAATAATAACATTTATGATTATTTTCATACCCCCCTCCCGTTTTGTCGCCTGCTTGATTCTTGTGTGTCCGTTCTGCAAGATGCTGCAAAGGCTTTTCTACGCTCTTCCGGAATGTGGAACTTTGGCCAACTGCGTCGGAGAGATGGACTGGCGTGCAAGATTGCTTGTCGGCCATGGAGTGGCCACAGCTCTCTGGAGGCTGCACTCCGTCGGTGAGTCGTACTCATGCTTGCAGCCTCCGGAATCTGGGGACTTGCTGCAGCTTTCCGAACACTCCATCGGCATCTCCCCCGATGGCCGAGCCGAGGTGATGTGGATGGGAATCTCCTCGCTGTCACAGAAAAGCGCAGGGCGAGCCGCTACCCAGGACCTGGAGCAATTTGGCCATGTGCTACACTTCCTGCTGGCCGCTCCCCTGAATCGCTTGGAGCTGGATGTGCGCGAGCAAGGCGTGGGAGGTGTATGGCCAGAAGAAGTGGCGGAGCTTGTCCGAGACCTGGCGTCCCGGTGCCTCCAAGGCGATGGACATGAGACGAATCTTCTACAAGACGTCGTTACGAAGTTTGCGCATGTCTTGATCGCGCATGCTCCTGCCGTGCCACCACTGCCACCCATGCGACGGACCAAACGATGGGCTCTTCTGCGGCATCTTTTTAAAGCTTGTTGGGCTTTTCAAGGCTCTCTTGAGGCACTGTGCTGCGTCTGCCTGGAGCCCTCAGAGAAGAGAAGCGGGCTGCTGTGCCCCTCGGAGCACAAGAATCCCCTCCTTTGCTTCGACTGCCTCGAGCCCTACGTCTCCAGCTTGATTGGCACCTCGGAGCTTCGGCGCCAGGAAGGACCGACGTGGAACTGCTGTGATTCAGGATGTTGAGAGTGGAGAGTTCGAGCTTAGTGCCCGACATGTGCTTGAGGTTGCAGGCTTGTGTTCATCGTTGTATATGGATGTATCATATATATATATATATTTATATACAGAAAGATGTATACAGATTTGTTTTCAGAAGATGCAAGTCTCCAGATCAGCCCAGGAGGGATCAGCTGCCCTGCCTGTGTGGTGGGCGCCTCTGATGCCCCACACGTATTCCCGCGACGGCAGGCGGCGCAGTCCACCGTGCAGTGGGTCAGTTTCAGGGTTTACGGCTTCGGGCTTAGGGGCTTAGGGCTTAGGGCTTAGGGCTTAGGGCTTAGGGTTCAGGGTTTAGGGCTTTAGGGTAGAGCACTCCTGTCAGAAGCAAAGATAATGAGGCTGAGTCTTCCTCCAGCTTTCTTTTGGGTTATTCGCGCTGTTGTCGCCCTAAACCCTAAACCCTGAACCCTAAACCCTAAACCCTAAACCCTAAACCCTAAACCCTAAACCCAAACCCTAAACCCTAAACCCTAAACCCTAAACCCTAAACCCTAAACCCTAAACCCTAAACCCTAAACCCTTGTCCCTTCCCGTACACCGGAAACCCTAATCCCTTCAGGTTCAGCAGCAGCTGAGTGGGCCAACCCTGCGTCGCTTCATCGAAGCCACGGACCCACAGCCCTTGGAAGCTGTCGAGGAGAGGTCTGCGATCCGGTTTTCACAGTGACTTCGTGCTTCTTGCACCCTAAACCCTAAACCCTAAACCCTAAACCCAAAACCCAAAACCCAAAACCCTAAACCCTAAACACCTCTGCAAAAGAGCTTCCAAAGGAAGACGAGGACTTCGAGGCAGAGATGCAGGTGCTCGTGGAAGATCTTCGAAGGCAGCCGGCTGCGGGGATGGCACCCCTAGAGGGTTTCAGGGTTTAGGGTTTAGGGTTTAGGGCTCAGGGTCCAAAATTCAGAGTTTAGGGTTTAAGATTTAGGGTTTAGGGTTTCATCAGGTTGAATCTGATTTTGTTGGGCTTCGGGTTTCGGACTTGCTGCTTTTCGGCGGAGGCTTGGCCCCTAGACAGGTCGGTTCGCATCGTCGCCTGCTATCGGGTGTCTGAGCACGATGAGCCCCGTGAAGCTCATCGCGTCAAAGATATTCTCCCCTTTACGTGGCTGCAGTGTGGAGAGGGCCAGAGCTTCTTTCAGTACGATCCAGAGAAGAAGCTCGGCCGCACGAAAGATTCCGGTAGATGTGGCTGGGTGCCCTAATGGGGGGGTTTCCGAAAATAGGGGTACCCTTTTGAAATTCTAAGGGGGTTCTGTCCTATTTGGGGTATCACAGGGGTACCCCTGTTTTTCGGAAACCCCCATGCCATCTCATGTTGAGGCAGCGCCTAACTCTAAACCCTAAACCCTAAACCCTAAACCCTAAACCCTAAACCCTAAACCCTAAGCCCTAAGCCCTAAACCCTAAACCCTAAACCCTAAACCCTAAACCCTAAACCCTGAACCCTAAACCCTAAACCCTAAACCCTAAACCCTAAAACCCTAAACCCTAAACCCTAAACCCTCAACTTTGTCAAAGCTGTCGCCAGGATGAGGTTGAGGCAGCACCTGAGCCCGAGACTCTTCGCCACGGAGGTCTCATAGCTGCATTAGCTGCGCTGAGGCTGTGAGGGGTTTAGGGTTAGGGTTTAGGGTTTAGGGTTTAGGGTTTAGGGTTTAGGGTTTAGGATTTAGGATTTAGGATTTAGGGTTTAGGGTTTAGGGTTTAGGGTTTAGGGTAGTCGCTTGAGGTCGCGCAGTGTCTGAACCTGGAATGCCCAAATCCAGACTGCCGGGCGCTGCTGGATCCAGATCCAGACGGATGCGTCGCCATGTCGTGCCGAGCTTGCGAGGAAGGACGTTTAGGGTTTAGGGTTTAGGGTTTCCGCGCTCTCTCCCTCAAAGTGCCGGTCGTGATCTCTTCTACTACTTGCTTAAGAACCCCCATGAACCCCCTCAAGAACAAAACATATTCTTCCTCGTGCAGCAGACAATAACAGTAGTCTTGTGTCTCATGGCAATGCAGTACTTGTAGGCTAGGCCGAAGCAGTTTTTTACAGACCAGAGGGTTTTAAAAAAGAGGCCCTAAACCCTAAACCCAAAACCCAAAACCCTAAACCCTAAACCCTAAACCCTAAACCCCTTTTTAAAACCTGTTTTATTAACACCCAGTCTGACTTGGGTCAGAGGATTCTGCTGGGTCTGCTTCGAGCGCTGCGGCTTCGGTGGCGACGCGCATCCCCACGCCGCTTGCCCGCGCTAACTCAGCTTAGGGTTTAGGGTTTAGGGTTTAGGTTTTAGGGTTTAGGGTTTAGGGTTTAGGGTTTAGGGTATAGGCTTTAGGGTTTAGGGTTTAGGAGTTGTGGAGAATTTGTGTGTGAGGTTTTGGACATCCATGGCGACTACTTCCCGAGCAAGCCCTTCACCGAGGCCCCGCAAGATGCCAATGTTTGCCGTGTTTCTGACTGTCGGTTAGCAGGGAACGAGGGAATGAGGTACCCTCTATCCCCCTATACTATACCCTTTAAGGGAGTATAATATAGGGTACCTCATTCCCTCTAGCCAACAGTAAGGTTTTAGAGGAGATCTGCAGCAATCTGTTGCAATCTGTTGCAGATCGCTTGAGCTTCCTTCGAGGCCTGGCATCGGAAGCACCGCTGGAAGCGTGTTCAACGAATTCTTGGAGACCTCTTGGAGGACTCCAATACCCCCTAAATTAGGAATCTTCCTTAAACTATAGCATTTGTGTTTTAAGGGCTTAAGAATACTCCTTAGTTAAGGAGTATTGGAGACCTCTTGTTGGAGGACAGGTGGCCAACAAGCTTTTGGAGGGGTCCAAACAGGGCGAAATATGTGCCAATACTCTTGCACCCTCACATCTTCGAATCTTGCCCTAAATCCAAAACCCTAAACCCATACTTCCAACCCTAAATTTACAACTGACAGGAGACCCGGGAGGAAGCACTTCTCACTAGCGCGCAGATGCTTAAGGACGTCGGCCTCTGGCCAGCGTCTCAGGCTGACTCCCAGCTTCTCATGTCGGGTTTGGGGTTTGGGGTGTAGGGTTTAGAGCTCCTAAAGAATCCTTTAAGGGGAGCACACTCAGGCCGTTTCCATCCATCGTGCCTGATCCGCCCAAGTGGGTGGAAGGGGCGGACAGGGGCCGCGGATGGGCTGAGGAGGCGCGGCGTTCCAGAAAGAGACCATGTCCAGCATCCTGATTCCTGATGTGGGGGTTTACGAAACGACCCCAATAAGGTACTCCTAATTTCGGAAGCCCCCATGTCGGAGATGTCTGAACCCAGACCCCTAAAAGGATCCAAAAAAGTAGAACCCCCCCAAGTAGAACCCTTATCCTACTATCGGGTCATTCTTGGTACCCCTAAGCCCTAAGCCCTAAACCCTAAACCCTAAACCCTAAACCCTAAACCCTCAACCCTCAACCCTAAACCCTAAACCCTAAACCCGAACCCTAAAGGAGATATCCTTCCTAGGGGGTCTGGGAAGGATCCCCTTAGAGTAAGGACCCCAAGAAGGACCCCCTAATACAGTCCCCCAGATAGTAGGATCCCCTTAGAGTAAGGACCTCAAGAAGGTACCCCGTTATCTCGGAAAAGTCCCAGTTGAGCTTCCCTTCAGGCCGTCATCCATGCCGCTGCGCGCTTCGGGCAAGTGGACTTGCTGATGCAGGCCGGCCGCGTCGAGCCGTGATTGCTCGACTCGGGTAAACCCTGAACCCTGAACCCTAAACCCTAAACCCTAAACCCTAAACCCTAAACCCTAAACCCTAAACCCTAAACCCTAAACCTAAACCCTAAACCAAGGCCCTCGAGGCCGAAGATGTGAACGCCCGGAACGACCGCGGCATGACTGCCCTCTGCTTCGCAGCGCACGAGGGGCGCTTGGAGGCCGAAAGTACGCGTGGGGGGGGGGTGCGGGGCTCTTGTGAACGAGGGTTTAGGGTTTAGGGTTTAGGGCTTAGGGGTGTAGGGTTTAGGGTTTAGGGTTTAGGGATTAAGGTTTAGAGTTGAAGGTTTAGGGTTTGGGTTAGGGTCCCCCCCTTTGTTTGGATGCCTTTGATGGTAGGGTTGCTTCTAAACTGGAGCCCCCGCAAGGGCCTAATCGCCTCATTTAAAGCAAACCCCGCATGTGCTGATACTAGACTGTGCAGCGTTCAAGCATCTCACAGCACGGACACCATGCGGGTAGGGTCAACTTTGTAGCAGGTATGGCCCGTGCAGGGAAAAGTTGCCCGCGTCTTTGGGCAAGAAATAGCAAGAACTCTATCGGCATTTCCAGCATGTTGTCATGTCTCGAGCAGCTCATGGTAGAAGAAACCCTCAACCCTAAACCCTAAACCTAAAACCCTAAACCCTAAACCCTAAACCCTAAAACCCTAAACCCTAAACCCTAAAGCCTAAAGCCTAAACCCTAAACCCAAGACCAAAGAACCACCATAAAAAACAAATGGGATCGATCTTGGGAGGCCATCCGGCTGCTGATGGAAAGGGCGGCCGACCCAAACATCGCGGATGACCATGGCGTGACACCTCTGCCACTTTGCTGGGCTAGGGGTTTAGGGTTTAGGGTTTAGGGTTTAGGGTTTAGGGTTTAGGGTTTAGGGTTTAGGGTTAGGGTTTAGGGTTGAGGGTTTAGGGTTTAGGGCTTAGGGCTTAGGGTTTGGGGTCTAGGGTTTTAGCGGTTTAGGGTTTTAGGGGTTTAGGGTTTAGGGTTTAGGGCTTAGGGCTTAGGGTTTGGGGACTAGGGTTTTAGGGGTTTAGGGCTTTAGGGGTTTAGGGTTTAAGGTTTAGGGTTTAGGGTTCAGAGTTTAGGGGTTTAGGGGTTGAGGGGTTTAGGGGTTTAGGGATTTAGGGTTTCGGCGTTAAGGGTTTTAGGGGTTTAGGGCTTTCGCGTTCAGGGTTTAGGGTTTTAGGGGTTTAGGGTTTAAGGTTTAGGGTTTAGGGTTTAGGGTTGAGGGTTGAGGCTGAGGGCGGTCGGTGTAGCGAGATGGGGGAGAACACTACTGCGAAGAAGAGCAATGCAGAAAGAATGCTAAGAGTTGTGGGGGTTTACGAAAATAGGGGACCCCCACTATAGGCCCCAAATAGTAGGATTCCCTTATAAGAAGGACCCCAATAAGGTCCGCCAAATTTCGGAAACCCCCATATTCATCGTGATAGCAAACGGGTTTGGTGTTTGGTGTTTTGGGGAGCTTGAAGGCACTATGCTTGCCGAGAGCCTCCCTTCCTCATCGAGGACGATGTTGCAGGCGCCGGGGTTGGTACGTGAGCGGCAGGCCCCTAAACCCTAAACCCTAAACCCTAAACCCTAAACCCTAAATCCTAAACCCTGAACCCTCAACACCCTAAACCCTGAACACCCTACACTTTGCGCCATCAAGGCCTCCTGCTAAGCTACGAGAACGTTGATGCGAATCAGCGGGATCTGTCGGGTGCGACGGCCATCATGGTGGCAGCGGAAGTCGGCCGGGCCCAAGTCATTCCCAGCTTGCTGCGGTGCCTTGACCGAACCAGCTCTGTGAGACCTTAAAAGGCATGCTTAGAGCCACGGTTTAGGGTTTAGGGTTTAGGGTTTAGGGTTTAGGGTTTAGGGTTTAGGGTTTAGGGTTTAGTGGATTTATGATGTCTATTGTTGCATTTTCTTCTTCTTGCTTTTGTACCCTGAACCCTGCACCCCGAAGAGGTAAGCACTAGCCACCCGAGGTGTGAGCGCGTCGAGCCCAATCTGACCAACATGTCTGGCTACACGGCTCTTTTCCTGGCCGTCCTCTTCGACCACGTGGATGTGGTGCTGGCACTCCTCACCTCACACAGGACGGGCTTTCCATGCAGGTGTGAGGCTGGTTGAGATGTTCCTCTCGCTTCCTTTGCAGTCCTTGTTTGCCTAAACCCTAAACCCTAAACCCTAAACCCAATAACTCCCAATAGGAGTCCTGAAATCAAAGCTGCATTCAGTTTGGGTGTACGGTGCCCTACACTGTGGCCTGCCAGGGTCACTGTGGCTCGGCGCAGCCCCGATGGAGAGACAGTGCTGCACCTTGCCGCACGTCGAGGGGGCCGCGAAATGGCCGAGCTCCTCTTAGCGCATCCAGAGGTCGATTCTCGGACTTACTTGGTAGTGAGGGCAGCAGGAATTCCTAGAGAACACATGGCGGCCAGAACTTCTTTGCCCCATGACACCACCATGTGTAAGGACAAATCCTAAGCCGTCGCGAGTGGCTGCCTCATGTAGGGTAGGAAGCCGCCCTCGCGCCGCTTCCCCCAGAAGCATGCCGCACCGAGGATGTCAATGCGACTTCCGCGTCAGGCAGAACCTCCCTGACCCTGGGATGCAGAGAAGTTGCACAGACTCTCTCCGAGGGGTGTGTGTGTGTGTGTGTGTGTGCAAACTCTCTGTTTCTGTACCTCAACATAGAACCACCAGAACGGCGCGCCGTGTGCCTAGGATGGAGGCTGCAAGCGTTGGGGCCCAGGAGGCCGGGGGGGGAAGCTTTGCGAGGTCTGTGAATGCCTTCCAACGCAGGGTCTGAACCCACCTGAGAGTCGATGGAGAATCTGGGGATGTACAATGTTAGAGGTGCCCTTTTATGGCGGTCCGTATTGTAAGGGGATCCTACTCTTTGGAGTTTATATTTGGGGGGTCCCCTAGTTTCGTAAACCCTCCAACCTCAGTTTGATGCCAGGTTGTGGGCTGCATCCTCGAGAAGGAAGGGGTTGTGTGTGCGACTCGGCGGCGCCTCTGCGCTGAGCTGTGACGTTCGACCTTCGTTCCACATGTGGGCCGCGGCAAGACAAGCCGATGCTTGTTGCATGTCGCCTTAGCAGCTCTAGGCCCCTAAACCCTAAACCCTAAACCCTAAACCCTAAACCCTAAACCCTAAACCCCTAAACTACCCTAACTTGAAGACACAAGGACCTCGTGGATGCCCAAGGCTTCTCGCCCCTACTGCTGGCGGCGCAGAATGGCTCTGCCGGAACGACCCCTGGGCTTGAAATGGGGGTTTTTTCGAAATGCGGGGTGCCTTGTTGGGGTCCTTACTTTATGGGGATCCTACTCTTTGGGGTCTTTGTGAGGGGTCCCTGATTTTCGTAAACCCCCAAATCTCCCGCGAATTTTCCTGCCCAAGGTTTGAGATGCTCCTACCAGTCTCGCTGGGTACGATCAACGCTCGCAATCATGAGGGAAAGAACGTCCCGGGCTCAGCTTGCTGTCAGAGACTATTCAACCCCACACCCTACACCCTACACCCTACAACCCTAAAACCCTAAAACCCTAAAACCCTAAACCCTAGACCCTAAATCCTATGTTCATGCGAAGACTGCTTGCGCCCAGCGTACGCCGCCCGCCCTCGCACCCTGCCAGGTGCTCATGATTCTGGCTGAAAGAGGTGGCTCGTCGTCTCATGAGGGCTGCTCTGGCAGTTGTTGCGCAGCCGTAAACCCTAAGCCCTAAGCCCTAAACCCTAAATCCTAAACCCCAAACCCTACACCCTTAACCCTTAAACCCTAAACCCTAAACCCCACAAAAAAAGGGCCAACTCTTGCACCAACCCCCCTGGCCACCTCATTGATGCAGGGCTTCAGTAAGGGGTGTGGGGGGACTCCCTCTTCTACCCTTCAAGTACCACATTCCTCATGAGAGGAACCCCAGAAACGGGTACCCCTGCAAACCCAACAAACCCTAAACCCTAAACCCTAAACCCTAAACCCTTAACCCCCTTTTTGTCTTCTCAACTGAGGCCCGCACTCGGACAGCCCAGCACACTGCTGCCTCTGCACCTTGCTGCGCTTCGCCCGGGATTCCGGGAGACTTGGGGGCTCTAAGGGGGTTTAGGGTTTAGGGTTTAGGGTTTAGGGTTTAGGGTTTAGGAAGTCTGAGGGCTTAAGTGGTTTCAGGGCGGGCACCGCCTGCCACGCAGGATCGCGCTGGACGTCAATGTGCAGTGCCACAAAGGCAGAGTCTTGAAAGCAGCGAAGACTTGGTCGCCTTGCGCCGTTTAGGAACTGGGTTAGGGTTTAGGGTTTAGGGTTTGGGGTTTAGGGTTTGGGGTTTTGGGTTTAGGGTTTAGGGTTTAAGGACCCAACAGTCTCAGTGCATCTTGCACATGCCTTCCAACAAGGGACGGCCTTGATGTGGGCCGTTGCCAGCGGCTCCCTCGCCAGCGCGGAATCCCTGATGGCCGGCTTCGGGGCAAACTCAACCCCCTGGTTCTTAGTAGGGAATGGAGAAATAATTTTGTTTAAGGGTATACATTATATATATATATATATGTATATATATGTATATATGTCTATATAGGGCCCTCATTCCCTCATTCCCTACTAAGAGCCAGCCAGCAAAAGTATGGGTACATAGTTCTGCAACCCATCTTCGGGTCTTACGTCTGATCTGAAGCAATCCCCAAACAGCATAGCAGAGATGCAGAGTGCTCGGAAGCAAGCGCAGGCTCCTCCAACATCGGACCCTCAAATTCATTCTGACTAGAATTCTTTCTGGATATGATTATGATTATGATGATTATCAACATCAAGTCCATGCTCTCCTTGGACAGGCCCTGCAGCCCGAGCTGGATCGCCAGGACCCTCGGCATCAGGGCAGCCATGGCTGTGTTCTGGGACAAAAAACAGCGAGAAGCAGGGAGTCGACGTGAGGTTGGGCTTCCTGCACGCGCCCGGAAACCCTATAGACCCAGAGACTCAAACACCCCCCTTAATTGAGAATATTCCTTAAACCATACAAGGGAACCCTCTGATACTTCAAGGCATATTCCTGGATGAAGGGGTGTTGGAGTGTCTGGGCATTCTCATGATGTGTAGACTTGCCCAACCACGAGGTAACTTAGCGAGCTCCAGGCCATTGAAGGTGTAGGGCTGAGTTGTACGAAACCCAATGGTGCCCTTTTGCACCCTTTTTGGGGTTCTGGGTTCCCTAAAACGAGCCGGAACGAGCCAATACCCGGTGCTTGGCTGCTAAGAAGTAGGGTTGAGGTATGGCTGAAAGATGTGTGCAGTTTGGGCCAGCTCTGCAGACTAATGCGTGCTCTCGAGGCTGCTTTGCTTCCTTGTATGTCTGTTCTGGACCCTAAATCCCCTAAACCCCTAAACCTTAAAACGCCCCCTTAAACCCCCCAAAAGACCCCCCAAAAGCCCTAAAAAAAACTCCCCCCAAAATCCCCCTAAAACCCACCCCAAGCCCTGAAAAACCCCCAACCCCCAAAACCCCAAAACGCCCCTAAACCCTTAAACCCCTAAAACACTCCTGACCCCCTAAACCCCAAAAACGCCCCCTGGGGGCCTCTCTTCTGAGGACGAGCGTGGGGAGACGGCCTGGAGCTTGGCCTCGATCTGGGGCCACAAGCCGGAGCTCTTCCAGAGCCTGCGCCGCTTGGGCTCCGGAAGCTTGCCAAACCCTGTGTTAGAAGGGTCTTTAGAGGGGTGTTAAGGGTTGTTCAGGGTTTTCAAGGGTTTCTAGGTGGTTCAAGGGCTTGTAAGGGCTTTTAAGAGCTTTAGAGGGGTGTTTCAAGGGTTTCCTTAAGTGTTAAGGGCTTTGAAGGGTTGTTACTGCTTGTTAAGGGTTTCAAGGCCTTTCAGGGCTTTGTTAAGGGGCTTTGAAGTGGCTTTACGGGGTTTAAGAGCTCTTTAAGGGTTCTCTAGGGCACCCTCCCAAATCTGTGTGGGACTCAAGGAATGCCGATCGTACTTGAGAGAAGGCTCCAGTTAGGTTGCTGGTGTGGCATGCCTGCAGGTCTTTTGGAGCCAAGCCCTCCATGGTTGCATGTCTTCAGGGGCCCAGACCCCCAAAATAGTATAGGATTCCCCAAGAAGGTATACCCCCTGATCTCGGAAACCCCCAGACATGCTTCCGAGGTCCTAAACCCTGAACCCTAAGCCCTAAACCCTAACTGAGGTCGGCTGTTTCCTGAGTCTGAGCCTCCCAGCGGCCTCCTGCTCTTCGATGGTGTCCTCCTACGATCCGTGGAGCGCGTGAACCGCACGCTGCTGGCGGCCGGTGGCCTGGCCTGGCTTGGGGACGCCTCTCCCTCTCTCATCCTCCCAATATATATATATATATATATGCTACCCCCCCTGGAGAATCTACCTTTAAAGGTTTTATCGCGTCGTGTATGGTTGAACGATCACGAGATTAACTTCCCAGAATTACATTTTCAGGTCTTATGGCGTTGTGTGTGGTTGAACTATTGCAATGTCAGATGCCATTTTCAGATCTTATGGCATTGTGTGTGGTCGAACTATTGCGATGTCAGATGCGTGAATTTTACCTGCGAGCGCGGTTGGTCTGGATTGGATAGAGAATATGGACTACCGAGACGCCATATCCTGTGGACGAAGGAAGCCTGCGACAAGAACTTTCTCATGACATGGGAGCATAGCTCTCCGCATGCCAGCCACAAGTCCTTACTGCGATTCCAGTATTCATACTGGGCGCTTCGCAGCTTGGCTCTCAGCAAGGAGCTACCGGCTTTCGTGTGCTGATTCACACGCACACGTTCCTTTAGGAATCTCCAACACCGGTCTATGACCTGGGTGCCGGACTTCACTGTGATTGTCTTGTTCTTTGTGCCGGGCAGCTTATGCTTGATGATGCGGACATAGTGGGGGCTGCACCCAGCGCGCCTTCCCATTGACCTTGACCTGCTTTTTGCAGTGCACCACCCGATCATGAAGAACCCCGTCGAGCTTGAGCTTGTAGCTTTTGGCTGAGTCAGTATGCAAGATAATCTTGCGACCGGACAAAAGCTTGGCACCCATGGTCTTCCACTCGACCTTTCGGATTGCTCCGGGGCCCGGGGCACGCTTTACCGTGATCTTGGGCGTGAGCTTGCACAAGGTCAACGTCTCAGGGCGGCCTCGCTGGACTACACCCGCCCATTGCTCCCACATCATTGTGGCCTTTGGGGACTTGATGAGGTGCTTGTACTCCATGTGTTTAGAGATGTCCCGCTTGTCGAACTTAGCCTCGTCGGCTTCCACGTCCTTCCAGGTTTTACCGTCCCCCATTTGGATGTGCTTCTCCTTCTGCTCGACGAAATCCTTTCGGATTCGACAAAGCTTGTACTCCATGTCCTCGATCCACTTATGGTTGACGTCGAGCAACAAGTGGATGGTGCTCTGAGGAACCTTGTGTAGCTTGAGAAGTAGAAGCGCGGACTGGAGCTGTAGCGACCTGGACCGATCACCGCGCCCTTCTGTGAAAAGAGGATGTAGATGATGGGGGTTCATGTGCAGCTGACATGTCTTCCTACTGCATCGATGCTTGAGAAGTCCGGTTCGCTTTTCGACGAACAGCTTTGACAAGGTTCCTTTCGAGCAAGAGGGGCATCGCTTGCCATCCCACTTTGGAAGTATCTTGTCCGCAATCAAGAGCCGGATGATCCCATGATCCGAGGCTTCAAGAAGTTCAGGGAGAGTTCGCTTCCACTTGATCTGTTCCTTGCGTTGTCCACGAGAAGGCACTGCATTCTTTTCCCGAATGTAGCTGATTTTTTTCCACAGCTTGGATTTCATCACTGCTACACGATTCTGAACCAAACGCATCTTGCCCTTCTTCGCGATGACGGCGCTCTTGGAGGTCTTGGTGGGCTTCGTGGTCTTTCCCATTGCATAAAGCCAAGACAAGACATGGAGGCAATGACGCAGATCTTGCTTCGTGGGATGTGTCTCGAGGGTGCCACTCTTGATTTCCTCGACTATGGTAGAGATGACCGGTGGAGGAGACGAGGGATTAGGCATAGAAGCTGTGGATGCGGAAGTGCTTGGAGTGAAGGAGCTCTGAACCAATTCAAGTTTGCAGACACCGTTTTCCAAGGAGATGAGGCCTGATACCGCTCCCACGTGCTTCATGGCAACTACTTGTTCACGTACACTTCTCGCTCTTTAACCAAATGCTTCAGTAACATTTTCATGTTCACATGTCTTGGGCTCTACTGAGTAAGATGAGGATATCTGGTCATGGATGATCTTTCATTGGGGGGGGGGGGGGTCACAGAGGTCCTGGGGCGAAACCCCCCCAACCCCCCCTCCCCCCCCTCCTGCTTATAAGCAACCCAACTGCTTATAAACAAGACACACACTAAAATAAAAAAACTTACACCTCACTCTCAGCATATAGGAGAATGATATAGAAATCATATCCTACGCATATATAAGGACGAAAACCGTGACTTAAACGAAAAAAAACAACTTAAACGAAGAAATTAAAGTTGCAGGTATCTTAAACCCCCACCCTCTGGAGGTAGATTCTTCAGGGGGGGGGTACCATATATATATATATGTATATATATATATATGTATATATATATATATATTTTTTTTTTGTCTCTCTCTCTCTCTCTCTGTGTCTCTTGACTGCCTCTCTCTGTTTTTAGTCTTTCTTTCCTTTCTCTCTCTCTCTCTCTTTGTTTCTGTCTTTGTCTCTCTGTGCATCTGGGTTCTGGGCGCTGGCTCTTCTCACTTAGGAGGTGGCGGGCATCTCTGCATTCCAAACCACGCAAAGCTGACGGTGGAGTTTGCGGCGGCCCCCTTGTGGTGCTCTGCCTAGAGAAGATTGGTTTGTGCCCCTGATAACCCTCTACCCTAATGTTAACCTGCTTTTTATAAATAAACCCCCCCCCGTAATTAAAGAATTCCGATCCCGGAATTCAATCATAAACCCCCCCTCAATAATAAGAACTCCCGGCCCAGGGCCCATTTTTTGGTTGGGGCCATCGAGAATTTCCCTTCTGAAGCGATTGCCCGGGCCTTCAGATAAGGTTCAGGGTGGGTTTAGGGTCCAGGTGAGGTAGGTTCAGGGTACGGGTGCAGGCTGGTCAGGTTTCTTAAGAACAGCCCCCCCTCAATAGGCGGGGCGGCCGGAAACAAAAATCAGTTGAGACGCAGGGTGGGGGGGGGGGGGGGTTTTTAAACGAGGTCAACATTAAACCCTAAACGCTAAACCCCCAAACCCCAAACCCTCAGGTTTTCTGGACATCTGTGACCCCCAGGTCGTGGAAGCAGGCGGGCTACGCGCTGCACGATGGAAACACCTTCTTTGCGGAGCATGAAGCCTGTGAGCGAGAGCTCATCATCCAGCGGGTGATGCTCGGCCTTTTTTGCCTTCCCGAAACCCTAAACCCGATCCTAAACCCTAAACTCTAAACCCTAAACCGTAAACCATCTGAACCCTAAACGCTAAACCCCAAACCCCTAACCCTAAACCCTAATCCCTAAACCCTAAACCCTGAACCCTTCTCTGGTAGCCTTGTCAGCTGCCCGATGCTCAGGAACGGTGTGCCGTGGTCTCCATGTACCGATGTGGGCTATCTGCAGTCCAGCGACTTCATCAAGCTCAAGGAGCCCTTCATGGTGGGTTTAGGGTTTAGGGTTTAGGGTTTAGGGTTCAGGGTTTAGGGTTTAGGGTATTTCCCAACATGAATTACCCCTTTGCACAGCCCAAACAGAATTGAATAATTTGAAGGGGCACCCTAAAGGGTGCCCCTAACTAACATAGACACGCCCTGGTAGCTCTCTACCATCCCCTCCACGGCCCGCAGGATCGGAGGCAGGTGCTGCGCTTCAGCGACTGGCTGGCGGAAGGTTGGGCGGTGAAGGCCCAAAAAGGCGACCTGCGATTCTGCCACTGGGGGGCAAGGAAGATCCAGGCGGCTCAGGTGGGAGTTTACGAAAATCAGGGACCCCTCTATACACCCCAAGTAGTAGGATTCCCTTATACCCTAAACATGCCTAAACCCTAAACCCTAGACCCTAGACCCTAGACCCTAAACCCTAAACCCTAAACCCTAAACCCCAAACCCTAAACCCAAATTCCAAAAAGGCACCCCCCCCCACCTAATTATTTTTCGGAGACCTTCAGGTGGTCTGCGAGGAAGAGCTTCCGGGGGCCGCCTTCCTTGGAGACTTTCTGTCGGCCTTTGCCTAGGATTTAGGGTTTAGGGTTTAGGGTTTAGGGTTTAGGGTTTAGGGTTTTCAAGCACAAAGCCTGCTGGAACAGTTCACTCAACCCTCTTTGGGACATCGCCCGGACATCTGTTTGCTTGTCTGCGGTGGGATGATCCCTTGTACAGCTGTTCGAGAGGGAAACTACAAAAAGCAAGAAGAATCATGTGGTGCTGTTGGTCGGGCTTTTACGCGCAGGCTTTGCCATTGGACTTTGCCTCAAACCCTAAAACCTAAACCCCAAACCCTAAACCCTAAACCCCAAACCCTAAACCCTAAACCCTAAACCCGAAATCCTAAACCCTAAGCCCTAAACCCTAAACCCTAAACCCTAAACCCTAAACCCTGACCCTAAGCCAAAGGTCATATGTACTTTCCGTCGCCTGCGGACTGGAGAGCGCTGTCCATCTACCAATTGGTAACGGCCAGAGCCCCGGGTCCGTGACATCCCCTTACTATTGTTATGATGAAAATTGATATTCTTTTTCTTATTCACACTATAATTATAATTATAATTATAACTATAATTATAATTATAATTATAATTATTGTTATGCTTATTGTTATTATTATTATTATTATGATTATTTTCATCATTATTATAATTATCATCACTATTATTATTATTATTATCATCATTCCTATTATCATTCTTACTAGTATGGTTGTTCTCCTTATTGTTGTCACTACTCTTGTTACTATTATTCTTGCGCTCTCTTGTCAGGACCGCTTTGCTGACGGAGACCCCAGGCGCCAGTGCCATCTGCCTCTTAGCGCCCAAGACAGGCAGACCCCCGACGAAGAGGATCCAAAAAAAAACAGATTCCCCTTTAAGGGTGTAGGCTTTAGGGTTTAGGGTTTAGGCATTAGGATCCCTTTTAAGGGTTCCTAAGAATGACACCCACTAGTAGTATGGCGTACTTTTTCGGCTCCTCCCGGGGGGGTCTGGGCCAAAAAAGCCTCTTCCCTCCGTGGGGGCGCAGGAACAACGAAGCCTTCAAAGGTGGCTTCGATGTCCGGGACATGACCTTCAGGCTGGGGTGCCGCTAAGCGCATCGACGTGAAGATTAGGACCCTAAACCCTGGGCCCTAAACCCTAAACCCTAAACCCTAAACCCTAAACCCTAAACCCTAAACCCTAAACCCTAAACCATAATCCCTAAACCCTAAACCCTAAACCCTAAACCCTAAACCCTAAACCCTGTTGGGAACTTGTCATCGGCCTCCAGGCACGGCGGGGACTTTGTCGGGCTCCGCTCGAAGCTCGACTACATCAAGGGCCTGGGCTGCCAGGCTGCCTTGCCTTTTCAAAAGGGTTTAGGGTTTAGGGTTTAGGGCTTAGGGTTTAGGGTTTAGGGTTTAGGGTTTAGGGTTTAGGGGCTTAGGGCTTAGGGTTTAGGGTTTAGGGACTTAAACCACCTGGTTTCGGCAGCTCCCGTCGCCCTGCAGAGCAACTGAAGGCACTTTGCTTCAAAATGCGCGCCAATTTGCTTATGAGAGTTCCTGAAGCGGAGCCCGGGGAGGATCCGAAAAGTAGAGCCCCCAAAATGTACCTTATACTCCGATACTACTAGTGGGTCATTCTTCGGAAGCCTTTTAGGGATTTGCTTTTGCGGATTTCTTTCAAGGGTTCTGGGGAGCCAAGCATGATGAAGCATCGGTGCCGCGCCTCGCGTTCGCCGCAACTCCCATGCTGAAGCCGTGCACGCTGTGAAGTTTGGGCGGTACTAGTCTCATCACCTGCTACTCAAGTATCACCATCCATCTCGGGATCGTGATTGATTGTAGCGTAGACGTACAGAGACCAAGCTCGGTGCAAAAGCGCACTGTCTCAGAGTCACAGAGTACGAGAGTCCTTTCTTCTTGTGCAGGCCATTTGGATTTCCCCTGTTTTCCAGAATGGGCGTGGGCCTCAATGGGGCTTCCGCGCTCTGCGGCTGAGAGGCTGATATCTGCCCTTTTTTTCCGTGCGCATCTGCAAGGTACAACTACTACCACCAGTATGCCCAGCAAGACTTCACCCTCCTAGATCGACGGCTCGGCACGCTCGAGGAGTTGAGAGCCGGGAAGCCTGGTCAAGGGGGGGCCGGTCTTCAGTTTAGGGTTTAGGGTTTAGGGTTTGGGTTTAGGGTTCAGGGTTCAGGGTTCAGGGTTTATCAAAGGCTGGTTCTATATCGGCCCTTAAAATGATCCCTTAGCTTCGTTAAAGGGTTCTGATGTATGGGCCCTTGCATAGGGTATATAAGGGGGAGCAAGGGGTGTGTAAGGGGTCCCCCTTTTCAGGGCCCATAATAAGGGACGATGTATCTACTCTAAAGAACGTAGGGTTTCATGCAGCCGACGAGGCTTTGACGCGAGCTGCCCACGATCGCGGCATGTATGTGCTCATTGTGCTCGGCTCAGTTTTTTTGGCAAGATCCTTTCCTCCTTAAACCCTAAACCCTAATCCCTAATCCCTAAACCCTAAAGCTCTGAACCTTCTTACTTGCTTCAGGACGTAGTCATGAACCACATGGGCAACGAGTTCTTCTTCGAGGGTCATCAAAGCGACACAGCCAGGGCCACAGTCCCTCCAGTGTTTTCGCGCAGCGTCGCAGTGTCGCTGCCCTTGTGATGCTTCATTTTGCTTTCGTGTTATGTGTGTACTGCATGAGGCTCCTTTCCGATTCCATGAGAACCATGGTCTCAGGGAATACCGGCCACTCGGCCGCATATTGCCGAGTGAGCAGCAGAGCTTGCCGACTTTAACTTCGGCGTTCCTGTGTGTTCTCTGTGCGTGCGCCCTGTCCAAGCTGGGTAGATTGTAGATACCCTCTCGATCCAGGGCCCCCACACTGTTTCCGACGACCTCCACTCTACCCTACAGTCTCAGCCCTCTAAAACACAGTAGCAACGCTGAACGCCGCAGAACACTCCAGTCCCTTTACAGCCTCCTGCTTTCATAAGTGGAGGCTAATCACACGCCGAGCTGCCAGTGAGCTCTACGACACGCCGGTGCACCAGGGGTTAAGCTGTTTGTTGTCGACCTTTTGCTGCTTCTAGTGCTTCTACTGAATATGAGAGCTGTGTATCATGAAGTATCTTCAGCTTGGGCTGAAGGCTGTCAGGCTCTTGTGAAGGTTTCCGTGCCGCGCACCTCCTGTGGCCTGGGCAGGCCGGAAAGCAGCCCTACATGGACTTCTACTTCAACAACACATGGGTTCCCGAGGTGCCTGCCCGATAGCGAGTCAGGCAACGCCTTCGCGCTAGCTTTGACGCCACTACACCCCCAAACTATGCCCCCTTATAAGCCCTGAAACCCACACCCTACAGACCCCAAACCCGAAACTTCCCTATGCCTAAGCCTTAAACCCTAACCTCTTCGAAGCCCTAACCTTCCCTAAGCTAAACTTCCCTAAGCCTAAACCTTGGAAAAAAGACTCTTCAAAGCCCTAAAACTCACTGTGCCAGGCCACATATTCCAGCCCGTTCTACGGGCAGTACGGCGAAGCGCCCGACCTCAGCTGTGCGCAGTTTCGAGGGCACCCCCAAGTAGGGTTTAGGGTTTAGGGTTTAGGGTTTAGGGTTTGGGAGTTAGGGGTTTGGGGTTGAGTCTTGCCCAGGAACCTAAGTTAACCTACCGGAGTAATTAGTTGGAAGCAGCGCATATTCTAGTTTCCATCATTAATTGCCCCGTGAAGCCTCCCGTAAGACTGGCGTGTCGTCTACCCTAAATATGTTGAACCCTAAACCCGAAACCCGAAACCCTAAACCCCTCTCACTCTACGTGCTTTGGGGGGCTTCAATGCACCCTTCCAGCGTGTCACCGGCCCCCGAGGCCGCGTGGGATCAAGGCCAGGGAACTTATGACGGTCGGGTGCCCAGAGGGCCCACCTACAAAGTTGAGAGGTGGCTGGGGGTTTAGGGTTTAGGGTTCAGGGTTTAGGGGGTTGGGGTTTAGGGTTTGGGGCGCAGGGTTTGGGGGTAGTAACGTGGAGTCTGTTTTTGAGAAACTTCCATGTTCATGCAAAGCCTCGGCCTTCTTAGGTTCCGACTTCCACCACAATGGTGATCTGCAGAACTATGCAGACCCCTGGGAAATCAATGCCGGGATCCTGTTTCTTTCCGTGTTGCTGTTAGAAGATAAGAGATCCAGAGATGCGGATGATGCTACCCGCGTTGTGCTTCGGGGATGATACGGTTGTGGGTGGAGGCGGGCTTAAGGAACGAGAACGAAGTCCAAGAATGATCCTGGGTGTCGTCCTGCCTCGTGAATGCTGTTTAGGGTTTAGGGTTTAGGGTTTAGGGTTTAGGGTTTAGGGTTTAGGGTTAGGGTTTAGGGTTTAGGGTTTAGGGTTTAGGGACGACCCAGGTTGCCAAAATCTACGGCACGATGGACGACCTGAGGCTGGAACACAGTCGCGTGCAGGACGGACTGGAATAGGAATCCAAGGTCTAGGAGTCTAGGTGGTGTCTTTAAACCCTAAAAAGCTCTACCCTGTACTCTATACCCTTTTGCTGATAGCCCCTAAACCCTAAACCCTAAACCCTAAACCCTAAACCCTAAACCCTAAACCCTAAACCCTAAACCCTAAACCCTAAACCCTAAACCCTAAATCCTAAACCCTAAACCCTAAACCCTAAACCCTAAACCCCAAAACCCAAAACCCAAAACCCTAAACCCTAAACCCCAAACGGGTCCGTGGAAGGACAAGTACATTGCCATGACGCAAGCCCTCATCCAAAGTGCCGATGTGGACGGCTTCCGAGTCGACACTCCCATGCAGGCTGGGGAACCTAGGCCCTCCTGTCCCCTACGGTAGGGTTTAGGGTTTAGGGTTTAGGGTTTAGGGTTTAGGGTTTAGGGTTTGGGGTTTAGGGTCTAGGGTTTAGGGTTTAGGGTCTAGGGTTTAGGGTTTAGGGTTTAGGGCTCAAAGTTGGAACATTATCCTCCTCCTATCCCCATGAGGGACGAAAGGGGCTCCCAGCACGAATCGTCCTTAAACCATGTTCCAACTTTATGGAATTGACTGTAACCCCAAACCCTTCAAGCCCAAACGCCCCAACACCCGAACACCCCAACACCCCAACCTTCTCACACCCTGGCCCCCCAAAGCCCCAAAGTTTTCAAAGCCCGACAGCCCCATCCGAGCACCCAAAACCCTAGCCGCCATCTGGGGACCATGTTGAACTTCGTAGGTGCGTAGAAGAAGCCTTCAACTTTTCTCGGGCGACATACAGTCCTCCCAATACTTGAAAGGTGGGTACTCAGCAACCCCCAAACCCTAGACCCTAAACTTTCCCTAAACAAAAAGGCCTAAGCCCTGAACCCTGAACCCTGAACGCTAACCCCTGAACCCTAAAACCTAAACCCTGAACCCTAAACCCTAAACCCTAAACCCCAAACCCTAAACCCTAAACCCGAAACCCTAACCTCCATCTGGACACCATTCTTGCAAGCCCGCAGGTGCCCTTGCCTTTCTACAAGAGATGGGCCGCATCCTCGGGGGGGGGGGGGGGGGGCACGCTCGGGGAGGGAGGGTTTTTTTTTTGGGGTTTTCGGGTTTCTAGAAGTTTCAGGACCTCAGTGAGGTCCTGCCTCTTGGTCCCTGGAGGGGGTTGATATCAACCATGGTCCCCTGTTTTCAGGTGCCTTGCATCACAGCGTGCCTCAAAGTCCCCCCCCCCCCCCCCAAAAAAAAAAAATACAAAAAGAAGGGGAAGTTGATGGGAGGCCCAAATAGCCCTAAACCCTAAACCCTAATCCCTAAACCCCAGACCCTAATCCCTAATCCCTAAACCCTAAACCCTAAACCGTGAACCCTTCTATTCTAGACCCTCAGCCCTGAACCCTAAACCTTTCTGTGACGCAAACTGTCTCAAGTGGCCCTGAGAAGCTGTGGTGCCAGGCCCCGGAGATCCGCAACTTCGCGAAATCCTTGGGAAAGGACCGGTTAGGGTTTAGGGTTTAGGGTTTAGTTTAGGGTTTAGGGTTTCGGGTTTAGGGTTTGGGGTTTGGGGTTTGGGGTTTAGGGTTTTGGGTTTAGGGTTGGGGTTTTGACCTTAGGGTTTAGGGTTCAGAACTGACCTATCAGCATAGAAACCCAACATGGGACTGTGGTTCAGGGTTTCGGGCAACCCTCCTCCCCCACATGGGGTTGTTCAAAGTCAAGATCCATGCTGTTCTTGAAAGCTTGAAGGGGGATAAGGAGGGACCCCTTGAAGGGACCCTGAATCTTATTCCCCTGTATAACCCCTATATCACCCCTGCATGACCCCTACATAGCCCCTAGGGTCCCTTGAGGGTTCTTTTGAGGGGTTGCTACAAGATCTACCAAAAGGGACCTGACTTTTTGGGGAAAAATGCTCTCACTTCCCCTCAGAACTAACGTAAACCCTAGGAGGCTTGTAAGCCCTAGAAGCCCTACAAGCCCTACAAACCCTGTAGGTCCCTTGCCCGATAGGCCCCCTGGGCGTTAGGCCTACTCAGAGCTGTGGTCGGAAGGAGCGCTTCGGACTCTTTGGGGAGTTCTACGTCACCACCGAGAGGTACGCCACCATGACAGGCTCGCAGCCCCGGCGCTCCCCATCCCCAGCCTTAAAATATGAAACCCAACACGCACCCCACACACTCCTAAGCCCTATGCCCTTACACCGGAACCTTGAGCCCCAATTCCTGAACTACTGAAGCCTAAACCCTAAACCCTAAACCCTAAACCCTAAACCCTAAACCCTAAACCCTAAACCCTAAACCCTAAACCCTAAACCCTAAACCCTAAACCCTAAACCCTAAACCCTAAACCCTAAACCCTAAACCCCGATCTAAGTCTTTCCAGCCTTGGATTGAGGCCGCGGCAAGGACAACGGGATGTACGGCCAAGACCGCTTCATAGCTGGCGAAGCCACCCTGAAAGGCGGTATTGTGCCACTCGTCTCGTGATTGGAGCATGAGTCCCGTTGTTGGGGTTTAGGGTCTAGGGTTTCCAGGGTTTAGGGTTTAGGGTTTAGGGTTTAGGGTTTAGGGTTTGTAGGGTTTAGGGCTTAGGGTTTCTGAAGTTTGGAAACCCGCCTCCCACCTGATCCTCGCATGCCCAAGGTATCCATACTATTGGTACACCTTCACTGCCCTGGCTTGGCCCTCGGAACAAGAGCCAGAGAAAGGGCAGAGACATCGGCGGATTCGCTGTTTCTTTGGGAAGGCCCAGGCGAACCCTGCATCCTGCACCCCTCGAACTCTACATCCCTTGCTTGACCCTGCTACCAAAATAAGCCCGAACCCTTAGCCCGAGTTTCCATCAGGGTTTAGGGTTTAGGGTTTAGGGTTTAGGGTTTAGGGTTTAGGGTTTAGGGTTCCAGGTCTACAAGAGGCCCCGCTTTGCAGATGGCTTCGCCTTGGCCTACGAGCAGGACGCGGTCGTGTAGGAAGCTCTCAGCCCCTCTCAGCCTCAAAGCTGCTCTGCAAAGGGGTGCCATGGGCCATCGAGGGGCTTAGGGTTTAGGGTTTAGGGTTTAGAGTTTAGGTTTAGGGTTTAGGGTTTAGGGTTTAGGGTTTAGGTTTAGGGTTTAGGGTTTAGGGTTTAGGGTTTAGGGTTTAGGGTTTAGGGCCCACCCCACACTGTCTCAGGCGGCAAAACCACCACGCGCAACATCTCCGGTGCCGTAGCCACATGCACTCAGGGCGAGGCGGCAGTGTGGCACGCCGAGCTACTGCAGGATCTCTGCGTGGCCGCCCGGGGCCATCGGGCAAGGGCCATATTGCGCCGCCGGGCCGAACTGGCGGCAGAAGGGCCCGTATTGATGTAGTCTGCTGCGTTCGGGTGGACCCGGCGCAGAGGGGCCTCAGCTAATTAGCTGTGCTCGGGCATACCCGGTGCAGAGGGGCGGTTGATGGGCATGGCTGCGTCTTCCGCCCGCGACCCCGAGTGTGAGGGTGTGCTCGTCATCATACACGCCACTGTTATGTTTCTCCGATGTTTGAGGCTCTTGGGCCCCTATAGAGAGGTTCTGACCTGCAGTCATGAGCCTACTGCCCAATTCCAACTGGCATCTGATGCTGGTGAATTTGGCGTCCGTGACACACATTCATGGACCGCAGCTAGTGCTCCCTTGTGCAAACCACCAAATGACATGTTCCTTTCAGGGTTTAGGCCCAAACTCGCTTCAATTGCCTGCTTCCCAAAATGTCCTCCGTCCACGGGTGGAGTGGCTTCCTTCACAAAGCCCTGATCTGGCGTCTGTGGACCCTGTGGGGAGGTGGGCGAACGACCTGGGTTCGTTTTGCGCGATTGAGGTCGAGGGGCTTAAGTGCCCGCCCCTCCTCCCACTGTAGGGTCCAGCCGAAGCCTTACCCTAAACCCTAAACCGTAAGCCCTAAACCCTAAACTCTAAACCCTAAACCCTAAACCCTAAACCCCAAAACCTAAACCCTAAACCTTGCCCCCGTCTAGGAAACGGGTCTTACTTTTTCAGGAGAACCGAATGATCGACACCTTCGACCCAAGCACCAACCGCTCGGAGTATGCGCTTGCCTCAGAGCCTTCAAAAGCCTTTAGGGTTTAGGGTTTAGGGTTTAGGGGTTTGGGGTTTGGGGTTTAGGCTTTGCACAGCTTAAGAAGCCTCGGCCTGCTGGTCCTGTGTGGGAATGGAGGGGCCCCTCTACCTCGAGGTTCATGAGTAGCCAGAAGTGGGGTTATAAACTTGGTAACTATACTTGCAACCCCTTATTTGTTTAGGGTACCCCGTTCAGTGTACTTCTAGCCCTGCTTATAACTACCCATGAATGGGGTCCTTCCTGATGACTTTCGACCACTGCATGGTCTGACTGCAGATTGTCGTGCGCTGGCCTGAGAGCCGCGCAATGAAGCTACTTGCCGAGCACAGTTCATGCAAGCATCAGCCGCCTGAATGAAGAACCTCGGTTCGGCGTGAGTGAAGAACCTCGGAAGCAATGACTGCACGCTGTTGAAGCATTCTGACCAAACACGGAGCATGCACGCATCAGCATCGTGAGTTCGGGTTGCTCCCGGGGAACCCTAAGAAACCGTAGATGTGCCGAGTTCCGGTTGGTCGTAATAAAACGCTACTTCAGCACCCATCCGAAAACCTAAACCCTAAACCCTAAACCCTAAACCCTAAACCCTAAACCCTAAACCCTAAACCCTAAACCCTAAACCCTAAACCCTAAACCCTAAACCCTAAACCCTAAACCCTAAACCCTACCAACAGCTCCCATGCGTGTAGATGTGGCTTGCGTCCCAGCCCGTGGCTCCCAAGGATGCAGAAACACTACCGGGGTGTTTGGGGTGTTTGGGGGTTTAGGGGTTTAGGGTTTAGGGGTTTAGGGGTTTAGGGGTTTAGGGGTTTAGGGGTTTAGGGGTTTAGGGGTTTAGGGGTTTAGGGGTTTAGGGGTTTAGGGGTTTAGGGGTTTAGTCTTTTAGTGGTCGCTTCCCTCAGGCACAGTGGATCTTCTGCAACAACCACGACAACTGGCGGATCCAGAGCCTTACTGGGAAGGCTCAGCTGCTCATGTGCCCGGTGCCCCAGTGAGGTTTAGGGTTTAGGGTTTAGGGTTTAGGGTTTAGGGTTTAAGGTTTAGGGTTTAGGGTTTAGGATTTAGCGTTCATGGGTATCTGAGCGGAAGGCTGCTCTTAGTTCATCCAGCCATAGGTTGAAGTTGAGCTCTCTTTCCAAACTCTTCGAACCCTAGGGTTCAACTTGTTTGAGCTCTTGATCTCAAAGAGTTCGTAGAGTTCAAGCCGAAGTTTGGGCTCCAGCCAACAGGCCACATGATGCCCTGAGGAAGCAACAACCAGGAGCTGCGCACGCACCCAGAATTCTCTCCGAGCCCTCCCTTCGGACCCCGTTTTTCCTGTTGCACATATCATGTGCAAACTGAAAGGTTCCACGCTGTTGGGGGTGGCTTAAGTATCAGGGGAGGGCTTGTTCTTTTCAGGGTTGATCCAAGCGAATCTAAAGCCAAAGTGATGGTAACTCTTTGGGCTTCTGCGAATGTGACACACTGGAACCTCAACCCCCCCAAAGTCGGTCTGTGGACCGCTCCATGGATTTCAGTTTTCAGAATCTCCATACTTGCTTCCCGGTGTAGCTTCGGGGCCCCTGAACTTAGCCAAGCCTGAACCTGATTTGTGCTTTGGGGTAATGTTGTATATCCCTTCTTTCCTCATGAGGGAGCCTGCTCATAATTAAATCCTAAACCCTAAACCCGAAACCCTAAACCCTAAACCCTAAACATTTCAAAGGGTTAACAAAGCACAGCTCAGAAAGGCTCAAACCGCAAAACCTGTATTGGCTCCAGTTCTGCCCCCGAACGGAGGCTTGGCCGTGATCACGTTCTGGCCGGGGCTGTGCGCAGCTCAGGGGAGCGCGTGCTGTGCAAACCCTAAACCCTACCTAAGCAACCCTAACCCTAAACCCCAAACCCCAAACCCTAAACCCTAAACCCCAAACCCCAAACCCTAATCCCTCAACCCTCAACCCTCAACTTTAGATCCCCGATTTTGATCGCGGCCTCTTCAGCATTCGCATATGCGCGGGGCGGGCCTCAAGTTGAGGGGTGGCTTAGGGTTTAGGGTTTAGGGTTTAGGGTTTAGGGTTTAGGGTTTAGGGTTTAGGGCTTAGGGCTTAGGGTTTGGAGTGTGGCTTGTTGCAGGGGTTGAGGGTTAGAGAGGTTGTTTAAGGGGTTTAGGGTTTAGGGTTTAGGGTTTAGGGTTTAGGGTTTAGGGTTCGGGGTAAGGCCGCTTCACTATGCCGGCGACGAGCAGGACCTCGGCACGTGTGGTGCTCAGTGCGCTCAGCAAGAAGCCTCAACCCTAAACCCTAAACCCTAAACCCTAAACCCCCAACCGCATGGACCAACACCTCTTCGTCCTTGAGAACTCTCAGGGATGCGGTGCCTGCTGCGGTTTTGCATCCGGCAATTTGGGGCGGACGCCTGTGGATGTCAGAAGGGCCAAAAAAAGTAAGATCAACATCAGTGATTTACATTCCCCCGAGCATACAAAGCAGTGTCACGACCAGTGGCGGTCTGGCTTGCGGATGGGGTCCAGGAAGCCCGTGCATGGACGAGGATGGCTCAGAGTCTGTGACGACAGGGGACGCCGACGATCATGGATCACTTGCCGTTTGTTCTCCAGTGCTTGCGTTGCTGCTGCAGTTGACCACAAGAGGATGAGGTAAGCAATTGTACTTCTCCTTCCACTGAGCCTACAAGCAGTGTTGAGACCAATTGCGACGGGCTGGCTGATGTGGTGTGGCTTGTTGAATTTGTTGAGAAAGGTTTGGCAATCTGTGCATATAGGCGAGGGACACAGGCAGTCGACGGTCACAGATCACTTGCCGTCAGTTTCCTATGCTTGCGTTGCTGTAGCAGTTGACCACAAGAGGATGAGGTAAGCAATTGTACTTCTCCTTCCACTGAGCCTACAAGCAGTGTCGAGACCAATTGCGACGGGCTGGCTGATGTGGTGTGGCTTGTTGAACTTGTTTGAGAAAGGTTTGGTAATCTGTGCATATAGGCGAGGGACACAGGCAGTCGACGGTCACAGATCGCTTGCCGTCAGCTTCCCATGCTTGCGTTGCTGCTGCTGCTGCAGTTGACCACAAGATGATGAGGTAAGCAATTGTACTTCTCCTTCCACTGAGCCTACAAGCAGTGTCGAGACCAATTGCGACGGGCTGGCTGATGTGGTGTGGCTTGTTGAATTTGTTGAGAAAGGTTTGGCATTCGTTCTGTGCACAGGGCAGATCACTTGCCGTTAGCTTCCTATGCTTGGGTTGCTGCTGCAGTTGACCACAAGAGGATGAGGTAAGCAATTGTACTTCTCCTTCCACTGAGCCTACAAGCAGTGTCGAGACCAATTGCGACGGGCTGGCTGATGTGGTGTGGCTTGTTGAATTTGTTGAGAAAGGTTTGGCAATCTGTGCATGGGACACAGGCAGTCGACAGTCACAGATCACTTGCCGTCAGCTTCCTGTGCTTGCGTTGCTGTAGCAGTTGACCACAAGAGGATGAGGTAAGCAATTGTACTTCTCCTTCCACTGAGCCTACAAGCAGTGTCGAGACCAATTGCGACGGGCTGGCTGATGTGGTGTGGCTTGTTGAATTTGTTGAGAAAGGTTTGGCATTCGTTCTGTGCACAGGGCAGATCACTTGCCGTTAGCTTCCTATGCTTGGGTTGCTGCTGCAGTTGACCACAAGAGGATGAGGTAAGCAATTGTACTTCTCCTTCCACTGAGCCTACAAGCAGTGTCGAGACCAATTGCGACGGGCTGGCTGATGTGTTCTGGCTTGTTGAATTTGTTGAGAAAGGTTTGGCATTCTGTGCATATAGGCGAGGGACACAGGCAGTCGACGATCATGGATCACTTGCCATCAGTTTCCTGTGCTTGCGTTGCTGCTGCAGTTGACCACAAGAGGATGAGGTAAGCAATTGTACTTCTCCTTCCACTGAGCCTACAAGCAGTGTTGAGACCAATTGCGACGGGCTGGCTGATGTGGTGTGGCTTGTTGAATTTGTTGAGAAAGGTTTGGCATTCGTTCTGTGCACAGGGCAGATCACTTGCCGTTAGCTTCCTATGCTTGGGTTGCTGCTGCAGTTGACCACAAGAGGATGAGGTAAGCAATTGTACTTCTCCTTCCACTGAGCCTACAAGCAGTGTCGAGACCAATTGCGACGGGCTGGCTGATGTGGTGTGGCTTGTTGAATTTGTTGAGAAAGGTTTGGCAATCTGTGCATGGGACACAGGCAGTCGACAGTCACAGATCACTTGCCGTCAGCTTCCTGTGCTTGCGTTGCTGTAGCAGTTGACCACAAGAGGATGAGGTAAGCAATTGTACTTCTCCTTCCACTGAGCCTACAAGCAGTGTCGAGACCAATTGCGACGGGCTGGCTGATGTGGTGTGGCTTGTTGAATTTGTTGAGAAAGGTTTGGCATTCGTTCTGTGCACAGGGCAGATCACTTGCCGTTAGCTTCCTATGCTTGGGTTGCTGCTGCAGTTGACCACAAGAGGATGAGGTAAGCAATTGTACTTCTCCTTCCACTGAGCCTACAAGCAGTGTCGAGACCAATTGCGACGGGCTGTCTGATGTGGTCTGGCTTGTTGAATTTGTTGATAAAGTTTGGCCTTTTGTGCATAGGCGGGGACACCGGCAGTCGACAGTCACAGATCACTTGCCGTCAGCTTACTATGCTTGCGTTGCTGTTGCAGTTGACCACAAGAGGATGAGGTAAGCAATTGTACTTCTCCTTCCACTGAGCCTACAAGCAGTGTCGAGACCAATTGCGACGGGCTGTCTGATGTGGTCTGGCTTGTTGAATTTGTTGATAAAGTTTGGCCTTTTGTGCATAGGCGGGGACACCGGCAGTCGACGGTCACGGATCACTTGCCGTCAGCTTCCTATGCTTGCGTTGCTGTTGCAGTTGACCACAAGAGGATGAGGTAAGCAATTGTACTTCTCCTTCCACTGAGCCTACAAGCAGTGTCGAGACCAATTGCGACGGGCTGGCTGATGTGGTGTGGCTTGTTGAATTTGTTGAGAAAGGTTTGGCATTCGTTCTGTGCACAGGCCAGATCACTTGCCGTTAGCTTCCTATGCTTGGGTTGCTGCTGCAGTTGACCACAGGAGGATGAGGTAAGCAATTGTACTTCTCCTTCCACTGAGCCTACAAGCAGTGTCGAGACCAATTGCGACGGGCTGGCTGATGTGGTGTGGCTTGTTGAGTTTGTTGAGAATGGTTTGGCAACTGTGCATATAGGCGAGGGACACAGGCAGTCGACGGTCACAGATCACTTGCCGTCAGCTTCCTATGCTTGCGTTGCTGCTGCAGTTGACCACAAGAGGATGAGCACTTGTACTTATCCTTCTACTGCCAAAGCATTCGCAAGCCCCAATGGAAGAAGCTGCAAACTCTCTCTCACGTCGGCGGTGGCTTTTCTAAACCCTAAACCCTAAACCATACCATGCCCCTAAAATCCTCGAATCTGCACCCTACAAGCCGACAACCCTGCAACCCTACAACCCTACAACACTGCAACCCTACAACAACCCTAAACCCTAAACCCTAAACCCTAAACCCTAAACCCTAAACCCTAAACCCTAAACCCTAAACCCTAAACCCTAAACCCTAAAAAACCCTCAAACCCTGCACCATAAAACCCGAAGCGACTCCCAGCCTTAATCCCTAAATCCTCAACCCTAAAACCCTAAAACCTTAAAACCCTAAACCCTAAACCTAAAACCTTAAGACTTAAAACCCTAAACCCTAAACCCTAAACCCTAAACCCTAAACCCTAAACCCTAAACCCTAAACCCTAAACCCTAAACCCTAAACCCTAAACCCTAAACCCTAAACCCTAAACCCTAAACCCTAAACCCTAAACCCTAAACCCCAAACCCCAAACCCCAAACCCCAAACCCCAAACCCTAAACCCTACCGAAGCTCCTGTCGTTTTTTTCTTGGCAGGCCGGGGAGCGCGCTGGATGGCTGGGCGCGGGAGGACAGAACCCTGTGGCTTTAGATTTGGGGTTTTAGGGTTTTAGGGTTTTAGGGTTTTAGGGTTTTAGGGTTTTAGGGTTTTAGGGTTTTAGGGTTTTAGGGGGTTTAGGGGGTTTAGGGGGTTTAGGGGGTTTAGGGGGTTTAGGGGGTTTAGGGGGTTTAGGGGGTTTAGGGGGTTTAGGGGGTTTAGGGCCCCGTCGGCTTGAGCTTCTACATTCTACGCTCGCTAATAGGTTGCTTAGTGCGGGTTTATGCTTCTGGGTTTAGGGTTTCAGGGTTTAGGTAGGCTTGGATTCAGGGTTTCTTTTTCTTTCCGCAGGTCATCCCCCCCCCCCCCGTCCCCCGCCCGTGTCTTTTTTTTTTGTTTTGTGCGTCTCATCTTCCTGGCCGGCCTGCCGGTTTGCCCAGAACGAAACGTGTTCTCTTTTAGTGTTTTTTTTCGAGGGATCGCTCTTTTAGTTCTCTTATTTCGTTCCCGTTAAAACTAATGCATTACGCGCTCCCTTCATATTCTTCTTCTTCTTATTATTATTATTGACCCAGGCTCACTGTATTTATTCTATGCCCGGTTAATATACCAAAAGGGGCGTTTGAATGATTAGGGCAGCATTGAGGGGTTGATGGCCAGGGGATGCTAGAGATTTGGAGCACGTGCTCTAGATACTTATGGTCTTCCTTTCAGCAATGTAGCGATGCGCGGCAGTGAGTATATCATCAAGGTCGGGGAGCGTGAGCCTTTTGACGTTTGGCCAGGGCTCCCAACTCAAGTCGTCGTTCCTCGGATGCGTGCTTGTGGCGTAGGAGTTGAGCCCATCCATTGCATGGAGTGCGGCCGGGAGCCTCAAGCAAGTTTTGTCCAGTGTGAGTGGCTTGCGCCGCCGAGAAACAGCTTCTGTTTGTTGTGGTAACTGTGACGTTTTGCTCGCGGATAGTCAAAGTGATAGTCCCATACTGATGGTATTGATACCCTATACTATTCCCTAAACCTTAAACCCTAAACCCTAAGCCCTAAGCCCTAAGCCCTAAACCCTAAACCCTAAACCCTAAACCCTAAACCCTAAACCCTAAACCCTAAACCCTAAACCCTAAACCCTAAACCCTAAACCCTAAACCCTAAACCCTAAACCCTAAACCCTAACTGCGCGGTCATCTCCGTTTACCAGGCAGGGGAGAGCGAACTGGCATAGGAAGCCCAGCGGGCCAAAAAAGGGACCCTAAGTTAGAGGATTATCGATGTTCCTGTGATGATCCTGGATCTTAAACCCTAAACCCTAAACCCTAAACCCGAAACCCTAAACCCTAAACCCTAAACCCTAATCCTGTGATGGCGGAACGCCAGCACAGGTGAAGACGACGCCGCAAGGGAACCCGGCAGATCGCGATAACTTTGCTGCATCCTCAGTGCTGTTTAGGGTTTAGGGTTTAGGGATGTTTAGGGTTTAGGGTTTAGGGTTTAGGGATGTTTAGGGTTTAGGGTTGAAAGGGTTTGGGGTTTAAATTAGGGTTTGAGGTTTAGGGTTTGGGGTTTAGGGTTGAAAGGGTTTAGGGTTTGGGGTTTGGGGTTTAGGGTTGAAAGGGTTTGGGGTTAGGGTTTAGGGCTTATTAGGGTTTGGGGTTTGGGGCTCAGGGGTGTGGGGTTTTGGGGTTCAGGGTTTGTCGGTGGGGTTTAGGGTTTGTCGGTGGGGTTTAGGGTTTATGTTTTGGGGTTTAGGGTTTGAGGTTTGGGGCTTACCCAGGGGTGGAAGCAATGAGGACTAGGACTCTGGAGCCACCTTCTTGCGCCCGCCTTTTCTCGGGTTTTCTATCAACGCGCCATAGGAGGCCCCTTATGGTTCCGAGCACCGCGAGAAGGCGCGCATGTTAAGGCTCGGCCACCGGTTTAGGGTTTAGGGCTTAGGGTTTTAGGGTTTAGGGTTTAGGGTTTAGGATTTAGGGCTTAGGGCCGAAGTTGCATCATGGCCCAGGACATGACGTCCTCCACCTATCGCCACATAGCGCGCCTCAACGCGCTGCGCAGGGCCTACTTTGCCGGTTTCGGGCCCGGCGCTCGGGTCACCCTAAACCTTAAACCCTACACCCTACACCCTAAACCCTAAACCCTAAACCTCTGTGGGTTTTGGAGCTCAGGCGGGTGAGGGTTTAGGCTGTAGGGACCGAGCCCGGAGGAGTGCCACCTGCGATCAAGTCGGTTCGCCGGTGCCTCAAGTCCAGGACCTGAGTGACTCAGAATCCTCCTGTACTTGGAGGTTCAGGGTAACCCCAAATATAAGTGTACTCAAAAGCCCCTAAAGTCCCCTAAAGTCCCCTAAGTCGTCTAAGTAGGTTCTAAGTAGACGCCAGGACCTCCTCATCTTCTGGCGAGGCTGCGATGAGCAAGGCCTTGAAGCGCAGCAGTGTTCTCTGAGAGTTGTAAGGTTTAGGGTTTAGGGTTTAGGGTTTAGGGTTTAGGGTTTAGGGTTTAGGGTTTAGGGTTTAGGGTTTAGGGTTTCGTGCGCCGTTTTGTTTGTTGGCTGCTCAACATACGGCAGAAAAACGAAGCACTTTGAATCCCCGTCTCTCTTGCAGGCCGGGTAACGGTCATCGCCAACTTCCATACCGAGGAGCGCAACTCCCCGCATTTGAAAGGGCGGAAGCCAGCTGTGCTTAGTTTAGGGTTTAGGGTTTAGGGTTTAGGGTTTAGGGTTTAGGGTTTAGAGTTTGGTGTTTAGGGTTTAGGGTTTAGGGTTTGAGGGTACCGGGCTTCTTGGCTCGCTTCGGCCGTTGCCGAGCCTTTCTTTGTTGCGGGAGGGCATGGTCGGATGGAGCCCTAAACCCTAAACCCTAAACCCTAAACCCTACACCCTAAACCCTGTTGAACCTCGCCTCTTCTAAGCACTTTGACAGTGGTTGCGAGATGACTTTCCGTGCATTTAGGGCTCAGATGCCATCCAGGCAACAGAGCCGCAGAGCCAAATTAGCTCTCCAGCGTCAAATGAAGCCTCTCACATGGCGTGAGAAACCCCTCGATGAGTGCAGCAGGTGGCAGGTCAGAAAACGGTTCCGCTTCATGCGCCAGATTCACAAACAGTCAGTCCCAGAAACACAAGACAAACAGGTTAAGAGCCTTGGAGCTGCCGCTGAGAATGAAGGGGCGGGCACCGTGACAACTGCGGTTGGTGGGCGACGCTGTGATTCCGGGACACAGACTGTGGACTTCGAGGTTCACCTGGCAAACTGGCTTGCCTATTTTGATGCCATCAGCTTCGACAGGGATGTTGGCACTCAAACGGACTGCTTCGTGGATGAAGTTTTTGCAGACTGTAGCCATTTCTGTCGTGAAGCTTCTCTTGCAGGGTACAACTGGGTTGATGAACTCGATGCAGGACTTCCCGGGCGACATCAGCATCCAAGTGCCAGCTCAAGTGCACGAGCCACCGATGGTGTTCTCAGTGATGGTGCCACCCTATCGGGGGGCCAAGGTGGCGAAGCTGATGTTCTACTTCAGTCCGGAAGTAGCTTCAATGTTAAAGCTAGACGCGTCACTGACATGGACGAAGCTATCAACGAGTTTCATCGGGGAATGCTTTACTTGGAGCAGGTTATTTGGGCACTTGAATGCCGGTACGGACATGAGCTGGAGACTCTGCAAGAGACGTTCCAGGAGTTTGATGACAGAAAAGGGAAGGTTCAAATTCAGAGCATATTGTGATTCCAGCGCTCAGACAGCAATTGTTTCTTCTCCCCCTGGGTAGCGCTGCGATCCGATGGCCGTTTGGAAGATCTTGAGGCTTGTTCGAGAACGTCCTTCGGCCCATCCTCATGACGCAGGGGGTGTTGAACCTCGCCTCTTCTAAGCACTTTGACAGTGGTTGCGAGATGACTTTCCGTGCATTTAGGGCTCAGATGCCATCCAGGCAACAGAGCCGCAGAGCCAAAATAGCTCTCCAGCGTCAAATGAAGCCTCTCACATGGCTTGAGAAACCCCTCGATGAGTGCAGCAGGTGGCAGGTCAGAAAACGGTTCCGCTTCATGCGCCAGATTCACAAACAGTCAGTCCCAGAAACACAAGACAAACAAACCCTAAACCCTAAACCCTAAACCCTAAACCCAAAAACCCTAAACCCTAAACCCTGAACCCTAAACCCTAAAGAGTTGAAGGAAATCATCGGGTTTGGATCCATCAAGGAGTCTCGAGTGGCGACCTTCTACTCTCCTTGGGCAGAGGCCGGCAGCCGCCACATGGGGCGTCTGTTATCATACAAGGTAAGCCCTAAACCCTAAACCCTAAACCCTAAAGCCTAAACCCTAACCCCTGAACCCTAAAGTAGAAGGGGGCCGAAAGAAGTGACCATGATTTTAGCAATTCCCTAATGATGAGCCACTGCTGGGCTGAAAACTCCTGAGCTCCAGGGCACGAGGCTCACGGACGCGCAGGAGGATGGTGTTGAGGCCTTCCGCTGGTCTCTGAAACTGCTCTGGTGATGCGCGTTACAAGACCATGAATCATGCGGCGTGCCACAAAACCCTAAACCCTAAAACCCTAAACCCAAAACCCTAAAACCCTAAACCCTAAACCCTAAACCCTAAACCCTAAACCCTAAACCCTAAACCCTAAACCCTAAACCCTCAACCCTAGCAAGAAGCAGGTCGTGGTGCAAAGTGGTGGCCTAATCTCCCTCCCTGTGGCACCGCTGCAAGCCCTGATCCTGGTGTGCGGGGCCCTAGTTGACGGTAGGGTTTAGGGTTTAGGGTTTAGGGTTTAGGGTTTAGGGTTTAGGGTTTAGGGTTTAGGGTTTAGGGTTTAGGGTTTAGGGTTTAGGGTTTAGGGTTTACAGGCAGTGCCGGAGCGCACCAGGGCCCAAGGGTGTAGGGTTTTAGGGTGTTAGGGTTGTAGGGTTTTGGGGTTTTAGGGTTTTGGGGTTTTAGGGTTTTAGGGTTTCGGGTTGTCGAGGGCGTTCTTTCTGACCCTGCTGGTCTTTCACATCCTGCTGTTCACGTCTGCTGTCCAACCCTGCATCTTATGTATGACGAGCTCTAAAGATCGTCCATGAACAGGAGACCCTCAAGCTGGGTTGCTGTCAAGGAAGGGACAGGAGCTTTCTCCAGAATCTGAATCGAAAGCAGCTAGCATGGTTTCGTCTGTTTTCGCCTTGCAACCGGGGGCGAAAGGGATCTGGGGATGCTTCGGGCTCCAGGGGTCGCTATGTCTTTCAAAGCACTGAGATCTTCCTCTGGCTAAGGCCCTAGAAGCTCCCCCCCGCCCTTGGGGGTTCGGGGTTCTTATCACCCCAATGAAATTTCTGTACTTCTAAGCCCCCCCCCCTAAGTCCCCCCAAGTCCTCTAAGTAGGGTTAGAAGTAGATGTAGAGTTGGGGTCATAGGTACCCAGGAACCTCCAAGTAACCGCGTCCTCCGGGCCGAGGCTGGGCGCGGTGCGCCCCGTGCCCCCGACGGTGGTGGAGGTCCAGCCCGGGCATGCCGCGATTCTGGTGGGGGTCCTACTCGGAGTCTCCGGAACGCCCATTCGCCTAGGCCCCCCCGGCCCCCCCCAAATCCCTTAGCCCTCATTCTCCCTTGTAGGTCCTCTTGCTTCAGCTTCTCATGGCTTGCAAATAGATAAGTTTACACGTACATATGTATGTATATAACGTAGGTACATGCATACATATGTATGTGTTGTGCAGTGTGTGCACATATCTATCGATCCATCTATCTATCTATCTATACATGCATACATACTTACGAAGATACATACATACATACATACGCATGATCGCTAGCCGTTCAAGGATGAGGCTCGGAAGTCATCGGGCAATTGTTGCCAGCTGCAAAGTACATACATGTATGACCATATTTACCCTAAGCCCTATACCCTAAATCCCCAAGAACAAGGACGTTTTAGGGGATGGGGGCGGGGGGGCTTCCAGCTTTGTAGGTTGAGGGCTGTCGGAGCCAAGGCGGTTGACCAGAGCCCAGCGGAGAAGCCGGGGCCCGAGAAAAGGTTGCGCTTCACACCACGGCGCCTGCACCACCGCGCTGCAAGTGTCCGCTGACATCTCCGCCCCACGACGCACGCCACCCCTGAGCTACCCTGAGCTACCCTGAGCTACACAACCCTGAGCTACACAGCCCTAAACGCCCAAAACCCAAAACCCAAAACCCAAAACCCAAAACCCAAAACCCAAAACCCAAAACCCAAAACCCGCCCGCCACCCCACTCTCTTGTCTTTTGGGGTAGGCGGGCGCTGGTCGAGCGCTCAGTGAGACCCTGCGAGGGAGCCCCAGGCGGGTGGCCTCCAGGCTGGCTTACCCTCCAGGCAGGCACAGGCCGAGTCAGCAGTTGTCACTGTTTTATTATATTACCCTTTCTGTCCGCGCACATGGTTGGGTTGGGACGGCCCCTTGAGACCCCTGGTCCATCACCCCCGTCCGCTGGGCTGAGGGGACCACTTTTTCTCGGGTTCTGGCCCTGGCCCTGGCCCTGGCCCTGGCCCTGGCCCTGGGCCCTGGCCCTCCTGGCCCTGGCCCTGGCCCTCGCCCTGGCCCTGGCCCTGGCCCTGGTAATGGCCCTCGCCCTGCCTGCCCCCTGGCCCTGGCCCTGGCCCTGCCCCGATCCTGGCCCTGGTGGCCCTGGGATTGGTCCTGGCCCTGGCCCTGGCGCTGGCCCTGGCCCTGGCCCTAGCCCTGGCCCTGGCCCTGACCCTTACCCTGACCCTCTGCCCTGACTAGTTTTGCGGCCCTGGCCTGGCCTCTGGCCTGTTCGAGTCATCTTACCCCCTTGCGCCAAGCCAAGCTGTCCGCGCACCAGTTTGTGTCCTGTTTCGGCGCTCTCCCTCTGGCTTTAGCCCCTTCGCGCCAACCCAATCTGTCCTGCCTCGCTTGCGTTTGCTGCAACTTTGTGCCTGGTCCTGACCCTAGTTCGGCACCCCACCTTACCCCGTTCGCGCCAAGCCAAGCTACCAATCCTGTTTTCGTGGTTTTTTTGGTAACCCAAGCTATTCACTGTGTGTTCTTCCTAGCTGGAGCCCCTTCGCGCCAACCACGCCTCGCTACCTTTCGATTTCTCTGTTCCTGGCCCATCCTTTAGCCCCTTCGCGCCAACCCAAGCTGTCTTCACGGACCCTGCCTCGTTTCCGTCTGCTGCAGCTTTACGCCTGGTCCACGCACCTCGTAGACATCCCCAAAAAGGGTGTGAGTGCTGACTCATGTGATGCTTGTAAAAAATAAAAGGTCTTAACTCCTTGAGAGTTGTAAGTGGGCGGTCTCGGGGTGGGTAGGTCTGCAGACTACCGCGCGCTCCCAAAGTGCGCTCCCGTCTGGCACGCCCTAAACCCTAAACCCCAAACCCTAAACCCTAAACCCTAAACCCTACCCTTCCATGCATCGGAGGTTCCGGATCAGCGTCCGCTTCGACCGGCCCATGGACTCCTTCGTGGCCTCGGTGGTCACGCTGGACGGCCGGCCGGGGAAGTTCAGCCACCCGAGCTGCAGCTGAGAGTTTTTGGGGTTTTACTAGGGGCTGCAGGGGCTGAAAGGTGATGTTTGGGTTTCATAGGGTTTTGCCGAGTTTTGAGGGGCTTTGGGGGTTTTGGGGGTCTAGGGGCTATAAAGGGGCCTTGGGGGCCTTAAGGGGCTTTGGGCCTTCTTGCAGAGGTTTGGGGCTTGGGGTTTTTTGGGGGGGGGGGGGGCTCGGGATTCGGCGATTTCAGGGTTTTAAGTGTTTTTGTTCAGGGCGTTCTTTTGGAAGGTTTTTGGATGGCTGAATAGGTTCCGATAGCTGAGATTGCCTAAGCCCTAAACCCTAAACCCCAAGCCCAAAAACCCCAAGCCCAAAAACCCCAAGGACCTAAGACCTGCGAACGAGGCGGGAAACCCGTAGGAATGCTAATCGCCTGGTGCTGGAAAGTTCTTTTGTTTTGCTTCGAGTTCACAGGCCTCAAATGGTTTAGGATTTAGGCTCTTAGGGTTTCCTAAACCCTAAACCCTAAACCCTAAACCCTAAACCCTAAACCCTAAACCCTAAACCCTAAACCCTAAACCCTAAACCCTAAACCCTAAACCCTAAACCCTAAACCCTAAACCCTAAACCCTAAACCCTAAACCCATAACCCTAAACCCTAAACCCTAAACCCTAAACCCTAAACCCTAAACCCTAAACCCTAAACCCTAAACCCTAAACCCTAAACCCTAAACCCTAAACCCTAAACCCTAAACCCTAAACCCTAAACCCTAAGCCCTAAACCCTAAAACCTAAACCCTAAACCCTAAACCCTCTTTTCAGCGCTCCTAGCGCCCATCCCCGAGGCTGCGTGGACTCGAGTTGCCAGGTGGGCTTTCATCGCAAGATTACCTCTTAGGGTTTAGGGTTTAGGGTTTAGGGTTTAGGATTCAGGGTCATGTAAAGTTTTTTCGGGTTTGGGACTATTTGGGGTTTAGGGCTGCTTGGGGTTGTTCAGGGTTTAAGCTATTTGGGGTTTAGCACTAGGATAGGGTCGAAGCGGGCCTATTTGGAGGTTCGTGGTGCTTATTGACCAGTTCTAATTGTACTTATAACCCACTTATGAGCCCCTTAAGTGCCCTAATATGGATACAACCCTAAACCCTGAAACCCTAGAATAAGTACCATGAACCTCCACGTATGTGCAGGCTGCGTTCCTGGAGCTCGACAGTGTAGCTGCTCTGGCGGATGGCTTCCATGAGGCTAGGCTCCCGAAGTTAGGGTTTTTAGGGTTTAGGGTTTAGGGTTTAGGGTTTAGGGTTTAGGGTTTAGGGTTTAGGGTTTAGGGTTTTGGACAATTGGATTTCGTGTGCATCCTTGCAACAGTGGTTTTCGACAAGCGTGCTTCACAGTCGCCGGCTTGTCCTCAGGCCCCAAGCCCGAAGCCCGAAGCCCGAAGCCCGAAGCCCTAAGCTGCACGATGCCCAGCAAAAGGTGGCTGTGCCGTCTGGTGTGCAAGGCGTCGATGGCCAGGACCCTCATTTGGGGGTGTTCTTAGAGGATTTCGGGTCTAGAGTTCAGGGTACTTGGAGGTTCTACCTTCGTAGGGGATTTAGGGGGCTTAGAAGTACTGGGGTTATAAGTGCCCTGAACCTCCAAGTAGAGGACTCTTGGTTTCAAGCAAAGAACAGGCCAGGTTTCGAGCAGGGCTTTTCTTTGTGGACCTTGAGACCAGGGAGCCTACATTTGCTGGGTTGCTACGAGCAAGCCATATTCTTCGCTACATCTCCAACTTCCGACAAGCCCCAAACCCTAAACCCCAAACCCTAAACCCTAAACTAAACCCTAAACCCTAAACCCTAAACCCTAAACCCTAAAAACACTCAATGTACGCTGTCAGCACAGCGACCCTTCAGCCTTCAGAGGAGATGTTTGCGACGTTCCGCTCTAGCTTCCTGGCGCCGCACCGAGTATGGACCTGTTCCCTGCCAACGGGTTTAGGGTTTAGGGTTTAGGGTTTAGGGTTTAGGATTTAGGGTTTAGGGTTTAGGATTTAGGATTTAGGGTTTAGGATTTAGGGTTGAGGGTTTAGGGTTTAGGGTTAAGGATTTTAGGGTTTAGGGGTAACCCAAAAAACCCTAAACCAGAAGTTCCTCGTCAGAGGTGCACCGGGGACGAGACGTCATTGCAGAGCCGCAGATGTGCGGATCCTGGCGCAGTACATACAGGGACATACCCAGGGACTCCAATACCCCGTAATCTAGGAGTATTCCTTAAAAATATGAGAGGTTCCTTCTATGGTTTAAGGATTCCTTAATCAAGGGGTATGGGAGTCTCTGGGTATGATAACATACAGGTACTCCTTGTGTACATCAAGATACCACAGTCTTCATTATACGAAGCCCAGACTCCCAAATTTGTGGAAGCCTCAGATGCTGGTAGGGTTAAGTTTTGTCGTTTAAACGTTTTAGGGTTTTGCAGACTCGCTCTTTAGGGTTTCATCTGCGCCTGCCGGCTATATACATCCTATACGCCCTGCACCCTCAACCTTGAAGCTTATAAACCCCACCGAGCTGATTCTGAACCCTATATAGACAAGCCCTACAAGACCGTGAGCCCTCAACACCCTAAACACCTTCAACACCCTAAACACCCTCAACACCCTAAACACCCCAAGCACCCTAAACACCTTAAACACCCTAAACACCCCAATCACCCTAAACACCCTAAACACCCTAAACACCCTAAACACCCTACACACCCTACACACCCTAAACAACCTAAACACCCTAAACACCCTAAACACCCTAAACCCTAAACCCTAAACCCTAAACCCTAAACCCTAAACCCTAAACCCTAAACCCTAAACCCTAAACCCTAAACCCTAAACCCTAAACCCTAAACCCTAAACCCTAAACCCTAAACCCTAAACCATAAAACCTAAACCATAAACCCTAAACCCTAAACCCTAAACCCTAAACCCTAAACCCTAAACCCTAAACCCTAAACCCTAAACCCTAAACCCTAAACCCTAAACCCTAAACCCTAAACCCTAAACCCTAAACCCTAAACCCTATCCCTTAAACCGGCCTCTCAGCCCTCAACTTCTGAGGCATGAACAGCCTGGGCTGATCTGCATGGACTTCGGCCATCTCTGCCACGAGGCCTCATGTGCATCGTGGCAGATGCGAAGGGTTTAGGGTCTTGAGGTTTCGGGCCTGCAAGGGTAGGGTTTAGGGTTTAGGGTTTAGGGTTTAGGGTTTAGGGTTTCAGGTTTAGGGTTTAGAGTTTAGGGTTTCGGGTGGCCTGTAGACTCTCGCATGCTTCAGATGTGTTTTGCATATGGAAAAGCAGTATACATATGCTCACAACAGTGTGTGGTGTGCGCAGGCATCGGGTGCTAAATGGATGAGGCGCAGCTGTCTTCATGGTTCCGTTTGCCGTTTGCATTGGCCCTTGGCCCCCCCATGCCGGTTCTGCGAGTCCTGCATCGCAGGATGCAGAATGTACGCCAGCACAGCAAGTGGTCAGAGCGGCCTCCTCAGCGCAGACACTTGCAGGGGTCGCGGGCGGCAAGCCTTCTAGAAGACTCCAGCAAGCTGCGGTCACTCAGGTGGGTTCCGTATCAGAATGTGAGCGATTGGCTGGTCTACCCGGGCATTCCCGTCCTGGTGCAATATCACGCCGGCCACCTTGCTTCTGAAATCTCACAGCTCCCTCGTCACTGCAATCCCCTGAAAGCCTGAAAGTGCTATAATGAAGTTTAGTGCGTGTCATGAACTCAGTCTCAGAGAGACCCATTCAAATAACGCCGTCCCGCAAGGCTGGATCCAGTAGCAGCTACATCGTTGGCGACTGTGTCCTGGCGGGGGGAATTCGCTGCCATGCCAGCCAGGACCCTTGGATTTTCTCTCTTTTGCGCTTAATCAGAGCCCTGTTCGTCCCTTTTTGAAGGGAGCCTTTGTATCATCGGATCCCTTAGAAGCAAGGAATCCCTGCACGGAAGTTTAGGGTTTAGGGTTTAGGGTTTAGGGTTTAGGGTTTAGGGTTTAGGGTTTAGGGGTTACCCACCTTAAGCCTACACCCAGAGCTGTTCACTGGCAGATTGAAAGCAGACTCCCGTCCCACGCCGGCGGCACATCGCAAGCGTCACTTGCGAGAGCACGATCCGCGCATGCTGTCGGAGCACGGTCCAAGGCCCAAACGCCACGACAGTTCTACACTATATAAGCACCTTAATCATTAGAAAGGGGTTTTTGGGGGTTATTGTGGCATAATTATACAGGGACCCTAAGGGAATACTGCTAGTAAATATTCCCCAAACCCCAAACCCCAAACCCCAAACCCTAAACCCTAAACCCTAAACCCCAAACCCTAAACCCTAAACCCTAAACCCTAAACCCTAAACCCCAAACCCTAAACCCTATAAACCTTTATACTCCTCGACAAAGAGCTGTGAAGGGACCGAGGCGGAACCCCGAAATCCGAAATCTCTTGAAGACGGAGGCACCAGGGTTTAGGGTTTAGGGTTTAGGGTTTAGGGTTTAGGCTTTAGGGTTTAGGGTTTAGGGTTTAGGGTTTCCAAAGCCGGCCGCCTAAGCCCGAGACCCTAAAAACCCAAACCCCTGAACTGGCCCTAAACCCTAAACCCTGACCCTAAACCCTTAAGCCTTAAACCCTAAACCCTAAACCCTAAACCCTAAACCCTAAACCCTAAACCCTAAACCCTAAACCCTAAACCCTAAACCCTAAACCCTAAACCCTAAACCCTAAAGCCAAGGCTGGCACCACGAGATGTTCCTGCGCGGAGACTTCAACGGGCTCGAAGCCCAGCCTGGGGTTTAGGGTTTAGGGTTTAGGGGTTGAGGGTTGAGGGTTTCAAGCCCTAAACCCTAAACCCCTAAGCCCTAGCCCTAAACCCTAAACCCTAAACCCTAAACCCTAAACCCTAAACCCTAAACCCTAAACCCCAAACCCTAAACCCTAAACCCCCTCATCCCGAAAGGGCTAGGGTGAGGGCTCTTGAGCCATTCAGAGCTTTAGGTCTTCGAGGGTGTGTTGCGCAGATTTAGGGGCTCAATAGGGTTGAGGGGTCTAAAGGGTTCTGGGATGTTTTGGAGGTTTAGGGATGTTGAAACGGTAACGGGGGTTTCGGGGTTCTATGTAGGGGTCTAAAGGGTTTAGGGATGCTTTTTTGAGGTTTAGGGGTTTATAGGGGTTCAGAAAATTAAAGGGTTTAGGGGGTCCTAAAGGGGGTTTAGGGGTTTAAGGGCTGAAGGTTTCGGGGTTTAGGCGGTTTAGGGTTTAAGTTTGTCACGGTTTTCGTTGGGATTCGCATGCCAGGGCCGCTGTGGGCACTAATGACCGTTTAACTTCCGCCTTCCTGAGAAGCCGGCCGAAACCCTAACCCTAAACCCTAAACCCTTATCCCTAAACCCTCAACCCTAAACCCAAAACCCTAAACCCTACACCCTAAACCCCTAACCCCTAAACCCTAAACCCTAAACCCCCTAAACCCTATATCCTGCCGTGGAGACCTTACCTTCATCTTTGCGGCCAGGTGGGGTGAGATCCAGGAAGGTCGCATGAAGCGGGCCTTGCCCTGAGTTGCGGTTCAGAGTTTAGGGTTTAGGGTTTAGGGTTTAGGGTTCAGGGTTAAGGTTTTAGGGTTTAGAGTTTAGTGTTTAGGGTCTCGGGTTTAGGGTTCAGGGTTTAGGGTTTCGGGTTTAAGCCATTTATGCATGCATTCGTGTCGCAGAACGTATCAGATAACCTTTGCTGTATTCCTTGCAGACCCTAAACCCTAGACCCGAAACCCTAAGCCCCAAACCCTAAACCCTAAACCCTAAACCCTAAACCCTAAACCCTAAACCCTAAACCCTGAACCCTGAACCCTGAACCCTGAACCCTGAACCCTGAACCTTGAACCCCAAACCCCAAGGTCTGCACAAAGACCCCAAACCTTACAGACTCCACACCCTAAAGTTCCAACAGCCCCAAGCCCGACAGACCCCAAGCCCTAAAGATTGATTGCAGAAGAAGTGGAAAAAGGGATGCGGACATGGCGGACTAATGTTTGGGGTTTCGGGCTTGTGGGTTTAGGCAAGGTTTTAGGGTTTCCAACCCCAAACCCTCAACCCTCAACCCTAAACCCTAAATCCAGAAAGCAGTCGACGACGTTAGGTCGACCACTTTACCTGGGCGGCCAACGTGACGCTCTCGCGATTCTCCAGAGCCAAGTTTGCCCCGCAAGAGGCTGGCGACCCTAAACCCTCAACCCTCACCCCTCAACCCTCAACCCTAGACCCTCAACCCTAGACCCTAAAGCCTGTAAGCCTTTAAGCCTGTAAGCCTTTAAGCCTTTAAGGGGTTCAGGGTTTAGGGTTTAGGGGTTAGGGTTTAGGGTTTAGGGGCCCCTTAAGGGCTGAAAGGCTTACAGGCTTAAAGGCTTAAAGGCTTAAGGCTTAAAGGCTTAAAGGCTTAAAGGCTTAAAGGCTTAAAGGCTTAAAGGCTTAAAGGCTTAAAGGCTTAAAGGCTTAAAGGCTTAAAGGCTTAAAGGCTTAAGGGCTTAAGGCTTAAAGGCTTAAAGGCTTAAAGGCTTAAAGGCTTAAAGGCTTAAAGGCTTAAAGGCTTAAAGGCTTAAAGGCTTAAAGGCTTAAAGGCTTAAAGGCTTAAAGCCTCGAGACTGTTGCATGCCGAAGCCCTAAAAATCCTCAGCGCGCTTGCAGCCGAGTTCGTTGCTTGCAGGGCTGGTCGAAGTCGTACGGCGCCACAGCCCCAGTGGGGCTTGTGGTTATGGGGTGAGGGTTTAGGGTTTAGGGTTTGGGGTTTGGGGTTTAGGGTTTCGGGTTTAGGGTTTAGGGTTTAGGGTTTAGAGTTTAGGGTTTAGGGTTTAGGGTTTAGGGTACACGGCGCAACCCTAAGATCCATCCTCGCCGGCCGCTGCTCTACGCGCTGCCGACCTTCGATCCGAGGCGTGCCAGCTTTGCCAGCTTGGGTTTAGGGTTTAGGGTTTAGGGTTTAGGGTTTAGGGTTTAGGGTTTAGGGTTTAGGGTTTAGGGTTTAGGGTTTAGGGTTCAGGGTTCAGGGTTCAGGGTTCCCTGAAACTCCTAGACCCTAAGCCCCAAAGGTTGGAGCCAAAGCCCCAAAGCTTAAAGGCCACCCTAGAGCCCCGCCTCGTCAGCCGAGATCCACCAAGTATCCACCGCGACAGGTTCAGCAACTTCCAGTATGACCCGCTCATATCAGGCTTGGGCTGTGTTTGCAGACATCTCGGTAGCCGTCATCTGGTGACTGGACTGGAAGCTGCAAGATCTGCAAGCCTGAGGACTTATTTACGTAGGTTCTACTCAAGATCGAAGCAGCCGTAGCTCTTGTGCCTCGAACTGAGTTTGCGCTAGCTTCAGGCAGAACCAGCATGCGCCAGCATGCGCCAGCATGCGCCCCTGAACTGCCCCTGAACTCCCCACAAAAAAACTGGCCCCCCCCCCCCCCCCACACACACACACACATACACACACTTGCACACCAGAACCTACACTTCAGGAACAGATGCGACTCGGCAGTGGATGGTGCAGTCGGAAGCCCAGATTCCAGCTTTCCAGAGCTTTGTTCAGCAACAGTTTAAATGGACGACAACTCTGAGACAGACCAAGTCACCCGGCTCGATGCAGAACAAATCAGCGTGGCGAGTGTTGACGAACTTTCGGCCTGCCGCAGTTGAGCTGTTCCCGACCCTACAAAAAACCCCCCAAACCCTCAATAAGCCCGAACAGAAGCTCTAAACCCTAAGCCCCACATACTAAAGTCTTAAAGCCCTAAAACCCCAAATCCCGAAACCCTCCTAGTTGCCTTGCAAGCTTCAAGGAAAGATTTCTGGACTCCTGAGCAATCCATGGCTTCGGGAGCAGAGTTTGCACTGGGCTGAGTGGGCTTGCACGTGTCACTCAAAACACGCCCCAAGTAGCCCTTAATTAAATCTTCTGCCTGGTTCTTAATAGGGAATGAGGGAGTGAGGTACCCTATGATATAATCCTTTAAAGGGGGTACATAGGGCCCTAATTCGCTCATTCCCTACTAAGAACCAGAATTCTTACATGAACAAATTACCTGGAACCGGCCACTTTTGGCCGAATCCTGCCCACAGGGCCTAAACCCAGGGGTGGCCTAAACTCGAATAACTAATGGAGTTGGCCGGCATTTTGTCAAGAGTTCGTGTGCATTGGGCGTTTCGTCAAGACTTCGTGGGCTTTTTGCAAAGTCCGTCGGCATTCCATCAAAAGTTCGTGGGCGTTTTGTCATAGGGTTGCAGGCACAGGTTTATAACCCTAGAATTTGGGGCATAGGGTGTATGGCCCGAGGGTTTGAGGCGTAGAGTCTAGGGCCCTAGGGTTTGGGCGTAGGGTGTACCTAGCGTTTGTGACAGGGGGTTAGGGCTCTAGGGTTTGGAACATAGGGTTTAGGGCCCTTGGGTACGGGGGAGTTCATTGTGGTCCTTGGGCTTTTTTTGGTTTAGGGTCCATGGTGGGCCTTGGATTTAGGGTTCAGGCTCCACTCTTTAGGCCTTCTGGGAATGTATAGAGTGAACTGTACACTTTCTTAAGGTTATGGAATTTTGGGTGGGTGGGTGGGTGTTTTTTTTTTTCCAGCCCTTGACAAGCTGCTTGACAAGTGAATGCTTGGCCTTGAGATGCTGAACCCTAAACCCTAAGCCCTGAACCCCTAAACCCTAAACCCTTAAACCCCAGCCCCGAAACCCGAAGCCCACTCTACAAGAAGGGACCCTTAATCTTACAACTAATCTTCTTCCACCTATCTATCCCCGATATATATATATATACACACACATACCATGTATCGTCCCTATGTACCTAAGTAGCCCCTAAATAACCCCCAAAATAACCCCATAAGGTCCCTTGCAAGGGCCCCTCCTTTTGTCCCTTGATACCCTCACCTCCGAACTCCAACACGGCTTCAGCAAGCAATGACACACAACGCTCCCGATCCTTAAACCCCGGTGAGGGTAGGACGAAGCCTAGGGTTTAGGGTTTAGGGTTTAGGGTTTAGGGTTTAGGGTTTAGTTGCACCTCAGGCAAGTGAGCTCTGGATCGGCTACCAGTCGATACCCCAGCCATGCACGGTTTAGGGTTGAGGGTTTTAGGGTTTAGGGTCTACAGAAAGAAAGAGAGCAGAACTCCCCTTACACAGACCCCCTAGTTTCAGTTTCAGAACAACCTCCACATAGCTGTGATTGGTTGCTGTGGCTCTAAGGGAAGTTCCATGGGCCCTGAATATGGTCTTTTACCTCCCTCAAAGGGTTCTGAAGTATGGGCCCTTGGGGTTTATAGGGTATAGAAGGGGTATATAAGGGGTCCCCATTTGCCCACTAAGACTCGAAAGGTTGTAGAAGGGGGCACCCAAAACCCAAGGGTACAACCTTAAGGGTCCAAGGTAAAAAACCCCTAGATGGCTGATGTGGTCCCCGGTATTCAGTCGCCTTCGCGAGGTGCACCGCCGAGGAGCCCAAGTGCCCGGTGCCCTCGCAGGACTCCAACAAATGGAGGCCTGTAGGGTTTAGGGTTTAGGGTTTAGGGTTTAGGGCCACTGCGCTGGAGAAGGGCAGCAAGACGAGCCGTGGAGGGTAAACAGCCCCAAACCCTAAACCCTAAAAACCCTAAACCCTAAACCCCTAAACCCCGGACTCGTAAACCCTGAGCCCTAAACCCTAAACACTAAACCGACCTGTTGTGGAACCCAGAAGCTCAAACCCAGCGGCAGGTGCTATGGGTTCTCGAGCTCGCAGGACCAGCGAATCTCTAGGGTTTATAGGTTATATGGTTTATGGGGTTTGCAGAGTCTGTAGGGCTTTGTAGGGTCTTATAGGCTAACAGGGTTTATAGGGTTAAGGGTTTATTGGGTTTGGGGTTTATAGGGTTTAGGGTTTAGGGTCTTTTGAGTTTAGGGTCAGGTTGAGGGGTAAAATTGCAAAACCCTTTCAGTAGGAGAAGTCAGGGTTTTCAAGTAGGGGGCTTTGTGAGTTTGCGGGCTCAATTTCGTTAGGGGTTTAGGGTTTTTAGGGTATTTAGGGTTCTTAGATTTTTCGGGCGTTCAGAGTTTTTTGGGTTGTATGGGCTTTAGGGCTTTTTAGGGTTTAGAGGATCATGATCTAGGGGAGCACGGTTTGTTGGGGAAGCTTTGCCAAGACGACTTCATCTTCGCAATCCACCGTTGTCGTCTGTGGACCTCGGTCTGGCCCTGATGGTAGGTTTGCTGCATATAATTCAAGCCCATACCCCTCAACCTCTAGAAGGAGAATCCATGGAAGGATGTTACCATAGCCCTTAATCTCTTTTCCAGTGGTCTGCTTAAGCGGTATGTTGCGTAGTTCTTGGAATTTGCGCAGGACCTCAACTGGTGCCGCAGCGTCGGCACGGACGATTGCGCGAAGCTTACTCTGCTAGTTCGTCGTAAGGAGTTGGGACCTACGTGCCCTATGTCTGCCCATGCAATCCCTTTCGGGTACTTGGAGGTTCATGGGTACTGATAACCACAATTATACATCTACTTCTAGCCCACTTCGGGGACTTAGGGGGCGTATAAGTACAGT